GAATGCCCTAGCTGCCCCTCTCCAAAATGCGAAAACAGGCCGCGGCGGCACAGGGGACATCCCGCAGAGCCCGGCTTCTCTCCACAAGGAAATAGCCAAAACCCGCTTCCACTGGTACCAGTGGAGTGGCCCAAAATAAGTCCAGGGACCCGTTCGACCAAACCCAAGTGGCGGTCAATGAATTCATCGGATTTCTCACAGAGTGAGAGAAAGAAATCAAAACCGAGTCTGACGTTTTTGCTCCACAAAAACACGGAAAACCAGGTTTTTTCGCGTCTCAACTTCCACGTCTCCGGTTCCGTCTCCGGTTCCGTCTCAGGTTCCGTCTCCGGTTCCGTCTCCGGTTCCGTTTCGGCCTGGTAGGCGGGCACGCAGGGCTTGCCGTACCAGCGCTGCCACTTCTCCCCGCCGGTGGGGAAGCGGCACGGCGCCTCCGCGGCCACCTGCAGGCCAGCGCCCGGGCGTTGTTTGTTCCCGCTCGGGAGCCTTTCTTGCTGGTGCTCAGAAAAAACATGTGTCCAGTACCTGGAGTCTCCATCTGACCCAAGGTGTCGCCACAGCAACCAAGACTTGCTGGTGCTTAGGGAACATATGTCCAGTAGCTCAATTGGTTCCCGTTAATAAGGGCCGTTAATAAGGGAAAGCAACAAACTTGCTGGTGCGCCAGGGGAACGCGAAATGTATTGACCCCGAGATACCATCCAACTAATGGTTTCCTTTTTCGAAAAACCCTTGGGTTCATTTCCACATTCCCTACCTATCGCACCAGCAAGCTCGAGAAAACCCAGGAACATGGACAACTACCTAAGAGAAGATCGAACCTGGACCCTCAAACTACCTAAGAGAAAAACAAAAAAAGCCCACCTAAAATTGTTGGCTGGCAGCCCCATTTTTTGGGTTGAGAGAAAGGAACTCTCTCATAGGTTGCCTGTTCTGTGGAATAAATGTCCACAGCCCTCTTGGCAGTGAAATCCTCTGGTGCAGACCTTGCCGTCTCTGGTCAGCACCAAGGATTTGCACAATGTCCTTCCCTGTGAAACAATCATAATTCTATAGGGACTTCCGGATCCTTCTTTCCGGAAACCCAAACAACTCGGCTGGTTCTCGACAAGCACAAGGTGTGAACAGAACGCACATTGAATCAGCCCTCCCTCACAGTCCTCATGGACTTTAGGGCTCCAAAACCGCCTGTGTTTGACGCCTAAAGGCAACTTGGGGTGTGGTATGTGAAATTGCAGGTTCTGCCTATATAAGGCCCTGGATTTGAGACCCGCAACCACCTCCGGGGTGTCTAATGATTCTAATGGAGGGGTTCGGGTCCCTGGAGTAATTTGTCGGACCCCCGCGCCATACCCCCTGCGGTTGACCGATTGGATCTGATCTGCCTGCTGCCGAAAGCGAAGGCCCCCGATGATGCGGTTGAAGTGCAGGTAGTCCCCGGTGATCGGGACGACCCTGGCGACGGCCCAGAGCGCCCCCCGCATTTCCCGAAACCTAGCTTTTGGTGGGGTGTCATGAAGGTTCCTGGACCCGAAGAAGCTACTCCGAAGAAGCACAATCTTATGGGTATTTCAAGGGTCTAGCTTTGGCTTTGCCATGAACCCCATGAAACTTAGAGGAATCTATGTTTACTGATGTTTGTTTTGAGGGTATTCTTGTGTGTTGGGCTTTGAAGGAAACCAAACAACCACAATTTTGGGGGTCCAAATTCTAAAACAGGACGAGCCGCCCATCGCCGATTTACCTGAAACAAGCTCGAGGCTCCATGCCAACCAGGCCGATCGCGGAGCCCCCCCCCACTGTCGCCTGTCTCCGAAGTCCCAAGTGCTGTTGGGCTCAGTGTTCAGCGCGAAAACGCTCGAGACATCCTGGGGCAACCGAACAAGCTGAGAAGAGACAGGAACCCAACGCCGATGGTTATCGACATTGCAAAATACGCAATTTCTCAACACACCTGTTGAATCAGCAGCTTGGTTAAGTTGTCTCGTCATTCTAAGGGCAAAGCCGCTTAAAGCCTTCGGCCAACTCAGTGGTCAAACTGCAACTGATTTTTGCGTGTAAAAGGTAAATGTTGTGCCCATAGCTGCATTTCCCAGAACGACCTTGCAATCAGAACCGAAGTGCGAACATTTGGGGGTTCTCAAAAAATAGATCCTCTACTATGATTGGTTTCCTTTGGGAGAAAGCCCTAATATGGAAAGTAATTGCCCTCAGCCATGGTGGCTGACGGCGGTTCGAGTTGTATTCCACACGCCAGGATTTGCATAAACAGAGCAGCCTGTTGTAGCTGATTGATTTGAAACTGGGTGGTCAAACATAGGGCATCCCCAACATGGGTTGCCCGTTCGGTAAATGAAAAGGACGCAAACCTGTGGTCCATATCCTGGTGGATTGAATTTTGACCCATACCTCAGCTTCTCTCGTGGTTTGGTGGTTCAGGAGAGGATTCCATTGACCGTCAACAAGAGCCAGGGCCCCGTTAATCCAGCTCCCACAAAAAGCAAACAACCAATTCAGGGTTGCCTGCATCCCAGCATACCCACATGAACCCTTCCCAAACAAAGTTGGACAACATTCTAGGGGTTGATTCCCCATTCTTCTCAACCATCGTTCTTCTCAAAAACCAGATCTGTTTTTTCCAGGGTTTCTGGTGGTTTTCTAGAAAGATTCGGATCCCTGGAAAGAATGGAAATGGAAGATACCCCTAGAAAAGTCCAAAGTCCAACTCAGGAACTCAGAGTTCCATACCCGTTGTGCGGCCCCGGCTCCGGCTGAACCTGGCTCCGGCTCTCGGCTGAACCCTCACGACGCGACTGCCGTTGAGTCGCTCTGGCGCGACTCTCGGAGTACTCCCAGCGAGTCTGGATCGTCCTGAGTGACTTTGCCGACAAACCCTTCCAAAAGAAGGAAACAAGAGTGGTGCTGGGCGGGGCTATCCCTGTTTCCAACAGATCCAATGCTGGAAACTGTTTACCGATCTGACGAGTTGGGAGCGCGGCCCCGGTTTCTGCAACCCCAAAGCTGGGTTTTGCAACCTTCATCTTATCTGGTGGCTTGTGGACACAAAAAAAGTGTCCTGGCCCAGTAGCAACCGGTAGCAACCAGCGCCCCAAAGGTAGGAAAAAGGGCATTGTGCCCTTTGTTGGCGGGTGCCTGCCTTTGAGGTGTCCCCAACCCGCACAGGTCAACCGGAGTACCTCAACAGTTGATCAATATACCTTCCGGAAGCTCTTTGCCCGGAGCGGGAGCACATTTGGGCATACCACACGACCACAATGGTCCAAACCCGAAAAGAGTCTCCAAACCGCGGCTCCAGGGCGAAAGGAAGACCATTGTAACTTTGGAAGACCAGTGCGGATTGGCCAGCAAAAGACTGAACTTGTCACTTACCACAAAAATGGGCCAAACCCAAAGGGTGACCAAAGGAAGTGAGTCTCCCACGCGCGACTCGAGCGAGCCGTCAAGCCGTCCTGGGCAGCATGCCCAGGCGGAGCCAACTCCAAAAGTCCCCGAAGCTGTGCACGTCCAGGAGCTTCTTGTGGCCGTGGTACTCCTCGATGCGTTTACAAACTACGGAAGCCTGTTGTGAACCCAACAGCTCCGGCAGCTCTGGCAGCTCCGGCAGCCCAACCCTTTGGAACCCTCCAGACCGGCCCTGAAAGCTGCTCCAAACCCCAGAGCCGACCGGGGGCAGAGACCAAATCCAGAGCTAAATCCGCGGTTGGGAAAAAAAAAAAACATGTCTTAGGATCAAATCGGGGCCACTCCGAACGAATCAAACAACAAACAAAAACGGAACAAAAATAACGGGTCCCAACCGGGTGTCAACTGAAAACAACTCCGTTTTCTTATTCTCCTACTACTCACTAGTGTGTATGGTCATTTTCCAGTTGGTACTCCATTTGGTCCCAACGTGTAAAATCGAGGCGGGGGGTGGAATATATCCCCCTTTTGGCTGGTTAATTGAGGTAAATCCAACTGGACACACTCCGAAAAGCATCCTAATGGCTTCTAGGTCGTGTGTTTATCTTGAGTAAGCAGGGCCCGAAACAAAATCGCGATCAAGTCGCTCGCTCCGGGTCTGAACAAGGCCTGGAGTTCACAAAAAAAAAAAACAGTGTGGCCGGAAATTGTCTGGCAATGGATGTCATTAATGAAATGACCAGGCTTGGTTGCAACATGCAAAAACACCTACACCCTGGATCGCAAAGGTAAACTACAAGGAGGATGTTTGCACAGCTTGACGGCTTTAACATGTTCGCCAGTCCGCGAAAATCACGAAACACCATGTGACATGACAAGTGGCTGGCCATTTCAGGTGCCGCAACCAAGTTTTAACCAAATGTCTTTGAAATCTACTGGTGAGAGTTCCTGTCCCGGTTCCCGGTGTTCCATATGGAGCCCTCATGATTCCTTCACAGATTTCCCAGTCCGTCCTTCCCCTGCAAATTCGACAACTTGGGGTGTAGCTGTGCCATATATCGATCAGCTACTGGCTCCGTGCCAAACTCTGGAACATGTTGGCTTCTCACTGGGTGCATGGGCCGGAAAAAGTCCGAGTTTTTGTTGCGCGACGGACGCAATCCTGAATTCCTTTTTTCCCTTGGTTTACCCTCCCTCTAGCACCTGCGGGAGGGTACCTGGAAGATTAATTTCCTCTTGAAGCGACCCTCTGTGAGGTGCTATGTGTTCCGTGCCAAATGAAGAGAAGGGGCCGCGGCGGCCAAAAGCGGTGATCCATTCCCCAAACGAGCTTCTTAGCATTCGTGGCGACGCCATCCCCAGTGATGCCAAAATGGAAACGGGAATTCGACTTGTTCCATTTGCTTAAGCCCCCTGCTACAAAAACACACAACAAAATGCAGTTTAAAACCAGCAGAGGAAAATGACACATATTCTTAAGCAAATGGAAGGTTCCGCGTGAAAACCACGATTGTTTCAGCAGCCTTTCTTTGGTTTCCCTTATGGGCGCCCATTTTACAAAGCCCGGACAAACGAACGGCTTGACGCCTGACACAAGTCCAAGGCGCGTGAAATGCGAAGTTCGCATTGTTCCTGAGTTCATCAAGCTGACGCATGCAACATGTGGTCCACTCGTTGGTGGCTATTCTGCGCACCCAGGCCCTCATGCACCCTTCTACTCTTAGGGGACAGATCAATGTGACCTTTTTCAAGGCGCAGGCAGTAGTCGGGAGCCTTTGGGTTGTGGGAGAACACATTTGCCCAAAAAACAGTTGAAGGTCAAAGATCCATCCAAATATCAGCCCTTGTTGCCACGTGTGAAAGCTTCAGCGTCTCCAGAACGTGAAAGAAAAGGTGTGCTTGCCTTAACACCGAAGGTGGAATCAGAACCTCTTTCTGGGAATCGGACCCCTGCGATGGGCTCCGTGAACCCCAGATGTTTTGCATGTAGGCATAACACATTTGCTCGCCGGACCTACCACGCAAATATTGCTCCAAAGACATGGGGTGATTTGTGTATGTCTCTCTTGAGAAAAACCCCTTTTTGATGTATTAAAGGAAAATCCACTGGGAACCACCATATTGGGGAACCTCCATTTTTGAGTCACACCAGTTTTCGATTGCTCATGCTATTGAAAGAGCTCAGCACAGGTGCAACTCGAAAATGACTGCGCAACCCCTTTCATGGGCTCCATGAAAGTTCACAGGTGGTACTGTAAGTGCCTCAAAAAGTTGGAAAAGGCTTGAAACCGTTTCCAAATCAAGCTTAGTCACGACTAAACTGTTAGTCATTGTCAAGCCCCTACTGTGGATGGACAAAATCCGTTCGCACCACTTTGAAACCACGGTTGAAACCATTGTTGTTGGTATTTACAGGGAAATCAAATCATTTCAGAAATTCTTAGGTGGTACGAAATGGACTTCGTCCATCCACAGTATCAGCCAAACCCACCATTAGCAGAGTCTCCTGTAGGACCCTTCATTCGCAGAGCTGCTTGGCATCCCCTTGGTTTCCTCCATCTGTGAGATGGGCCCAAAGTCCACAGAAATTGTCCAAACCCAAAACGTGACTCAAGTCCAGAAACTGCGGGGCTTGCACGAAAACCCTCTTGGTCTCCTTTGTTTCCCTTTACGAACTGTCCATTTGGGTTTCCCTTCGATTTCCAATCCTCAACAATCAGAAACACACACGCACACACACACACACACACACCCAACCACAAAACAAGAACTCCGCAAAACGGAACTTTCCAGTGTCCTTTTTGGTTCCCAATCGAGAAAACTGACCTAACAAGAACTGCAATGAACCCACAAAGAGGGTACCAACCCCAAAACAGTCCCTTTGGGGCCCCTACCAAAGGGGACAGATGCATGTGGGTCTTTCTCCATAGGTTCGAACCCAAGACAAAGATGTGATGACACCTAGACCCTCAAACTACCCATAAAAATGGGTTCCCAACCCCGGAAGGGCTGGCGACAAGTCTTGCGTCTTTGAGCTGAGGCGCAGGATGTCTTGCTCGATGGCCTGCTCCACCGAGAGCACGGTGTGCTGGTTCAGGGCCAAGACCGCCATCAGGGTGAAGGAGATCATCACCTCTGCTTCAGTTTTGCCCTCCCCTCAATTGGTTTGGACGTTTTTGGCAACCTCGGACCTCTGGTGGTGCGGGTGGTGTGTGTTTTATATCGTCGACGTCAAAATCAAAATTCATCGGTTTAAATTGGTATGCCCAAAACCATGTGGAGAATTGAGAAATGGCGGCGAAGGCACCCTATGTATCGTTCTATGCTGCTCTCCCCTTTGTGGTTGGTGGTTTGGACGTTACCTCAACCACCTCGGTCCCAAATGTAAAAGAAGCCGATCAACCCACGCAAAAAAAAACACAAAAGAGCCAATTAAGGATCCTAACAAACCCAGCAAGAAGCACGTGTGCAACCCACACAAAATCAAAAACAACCACTCCGACGTTTGGTTGCCATCGCCCTACACATGGGAGCCCTGAAGCAGATCAGCTTCCATTTTAAGCTTGGAGGGTGGCGCCGGGTGTGGCAAGACCAGTGGGTTGCCACGGGAAAACGAGAATCGGCATCCTTTCTTTGAGTTTAAACAGGGATCCTTACAATATACACCTGAACATTGCCTTGTAAATGGTGGTTTCCCTTTATTGTGGTGAACACAGCGCCCTGTTCAAGGGAACCCGAAACCCACAAAAGGGGATTAAAGAGCGCCACTGGGCAACTGGGGGGTGGGCTGGGAGAGTCCCAACCAGCACAAAGCAAGCCGCCATTCAGGTCCCAACCAGTGGCTTGGGGGTCCCTTTTAACCTCCGGGTTCAAACCCCCAGACCAATCCAATTAAGGGAAACCTTAGGGAACCGGTGCGATACAGCCACGGTTGCCTTCTGGTATTTAATTTGCCTTTTGGTTGGTTCCCTGTGTTTTGGTTGTGTTACTGTTGATTTATTTTTGCTTGCATACTAGAGCCTAAACAACCACAATGGGTTCTGGGGGGTACGCTAAAACCAGGCTTAGACATGATCAGAGAAGTAAACTACTAATTTCCTTCTGGATTCACAAAGAAGCAAACCCAAAAGACGGAACCTGCAAACACATAATATGCACAATTACCCAAATGCGGTGTGACGTCCCTTTTGGCGTTCTGTTTGTTTGGAACCCGTCCTGAACCATAAGTACTCCCACATCTGGCGTACACAGCAATACATATTCTCTGGTGCTTCATACTGTCAAGCCCAAAATTTAAATTGAACATCGTTTTGGAGACCCCGGTAAAATCACAACGATGTCCTTTTGGCCCAATACCTTTTCGTTTATGTGCTTGCTTCCTTTGTCTCTTCCAAAGATGTCCTTAGCTGTCTCCCGGGTCCAGTGGATCCCGGGTTTTGCCTTTTTGAGTTACTTTCGAGGTCCTGGAAGGTATGGACATAAAATCCGCGTGTTGTTGTTGTTGTCGTTGTTGTTGTTTTTTTTTGGGGGGAACAACAATCCTAGGTACCCTCTGTTCAATTCAAGCTGACCGGAGGAATTTGAAGGACAGCTTTCCTTTTGGGGAGCCACCGATCGTCCACCTTGATTGGAGGGTAAAATGGAACAAATTGGACATATCAGGTTCACCAAGCTGAGAAGTAACAAAGGTGATCACTAGGCCACAAAACAATGGGCTAAACCAAAATGGAGAGCATGTCAAAGTGGAGGAACATAGCCAAAAGGCGATCACCCTTCGGAATGGACAGACACGCTGCGTTGAAATGAAAGAAGTTGGACATATCCGGCTCACGTCAGGTTTGGTGTTGGATCACCCTTTAGAACCCTGAGTACAAAAGAACAACAACCGAGAAAAAAAAGGGGGAAACACAAACGATATGAATAAAACAACAACGTGGGGTGGAACAAACTGGACATGTCAGGCTGAGTGTTGGATCACGCGTCGGAACCCCGACTAACATTGGTGTTCTTGTTTGAAACACACAATGATAGGTTCACCTTTTGGAACCCTGACAAAAACTGGGTTCATTAAAGTGACATCCTCATATGTACACTCCAAAAGGTGGTTTCCAGGGTTTCACTTTTTGGAGCCCTGGGCACTGACCAAACACAGGAATTAACCAAAAACAGGACCAACCTGAACGAGGGTGGAACGAGCACATCGGAAGGCCATACGCAACATGTCTCAATTTGAGAAGCGGTCATTTTTGCGGGGAAAACCGCTGGAGCGTGAGGTGAATGGCAGCTATGGACACGTGGGCGCAGCGAAATTCCGAGCCCCCTCGACTTTTGGTTCTAGCATGGTCATTTTCAGGGAGAGGGGTTTGGGAGGTATAGATCACCCCATAGAAAAGCGATACTACAAGCGGTACATAACCTGCATACCTCCAAAACCCCCTTGCAGGGACTAAAACTCTTCACCAATCGCTTTTGAGGTGGTTCCCTGTTAAAATTCATGGCCTGGACGTATCTGTTTTTAGGATTTGGACCCCCCAACATGGCTTCGCTTTCTTTTTTGTTGCCCTTTAAAACCGCGCCAAAAAGAATACCCTCAACAAAAAGACGAACCCATGAAGGAGCTACTACAATCCCCTTTGAACTAGGTAAATCCTCAACAGAAACACGAAGCCACATGGGAATTACTTTAAATCCCCCGCCTAAACTATCGCAGGTCACATGGAGTTGAATTTCGTCACGCCACAATGATCATAAAGGGCAGCTCCAGGCATGCTCGCTCGTCCGCCAGCTCTTGCCTGCGTTTGCCTCTCTTTTTCCCTTTGAACAAGGGATGCTAAGTAAACATCGTGTTCATCTCCTGTTTTGGGCGCCGGGGTTTTGTGCATGTTGATGAGCTGCAACAACCTTTGGTTTGTGTTTGGACAAAACTCAACATGAACTGGAGAAAACATCACCCTGCGAGGAAACTCAATTTGAACTTCCAATTGCAAATACTCCCCCGGGATTTAAAAAAAAAAAAAAAAAAATCCAGTAGTGAAATTGATACCCTTTTAAACCAACAAGCCGAAGTAAATCACAAAGTAACCAGCTTGGCCAAGACCGGCCTATCTTTTGGTGTCCTTTTGGGAAACTAACATCTCCCCTCATTAAAATGACCCCCGAAAAACCAACCTCATAGACCCATCTCCTTGTAAAAAACGCCCGTGCTTGGGAGATTCTCATTTCCACACCGCGAATGAGACAACTCGACCTCGGGGCCTCGGAAAATCAATGGCCCCGGGATCTGCGCCGCAAGAACGGCCTTGACTTCCGAAAACCCCTTTGCGCCACCAAATGAAACCATGGTTGAAACCATCGCTTGTTGATATTTACAGGGGAATCAGTTTGTTTCTGAACAGTGGTGCGAAATGGGCTTCCTTTTTGGGGACCCCTCAGAAAAAAATGTGGGGGGGGTCCCTGTTCGCCGTTGACCATTTTCAAAGTGGGGGAACCCCACGCAACTCAGTGGCACACAGCTGTTGAGTGGTTCGTTGCCCTAGGCCTCTTTCCCGAGTGAACATCTGCTTTCTTGCCAGTCGCCCAGTCCAAAACAAGTGTTAAACGCACCGAAATAGAAAACAGCCTTGTGGTTCCTCCAAACAGGCCCAGATGTGGAAGTCAAACAGGGATTTCGCCAGGGAGACAACTGGGAAATGAGTTTGGAATCGCTTGCTGAAACCAGTGGAACGCATCTGCCTGCATGTCCGTTCGCATCAAGGTCTACAACAATTCCCAAACCTAAAGTAAGAAGTTGAAAACTGTTTGTTGGCTTTTGGTTGGAAATCGCAATCGTGCTCGCTCTTTTGGCTTTTCTTTTGCAAACTCAGCGTCCGACACATCAGGCATTCAGACAGCGACAAACTAAAGGAAAGTAGATTCAGGAAACTGACCCCTTCGCCGCGGCTTATATTATACGTAACACACACACACACACACGCACCAACCGAAAGAGCCATGAAAAGCCCCAGAAAGGACCCTTGAATTCATCGCGTTTCGGCATTCGCAAGTCTATTCTCCATCGACGACTTCTCACCCCAGAGAAGGAAGCTACAGTAAAGGAAAAACCCTCACCCCGCTCTCCCTCCCATAGTGACACATCATGGTGTGAAATCGGTGAAATAGTGCACTCTGGAAAAACCGACAAGAATACTCCCGTGCTCTCGTGGTTTCCTTGGATTGAAAGGAAACAATGATTGCCTTTTGCGCCAACTCAACCCAGCCCAAAAATCCCAACCCAAGCAACAGAGTTCGACCAGCAAAATATGGGCATTTCTGGATTTGGAGCCCCCCCAAAGGCTGGTTTCTTGTTGTTGACCTCTAAACTTTAAACCAACCCACAAAAGGTTGCACGGCCCAACGTTTAGGGGACCCCCCAAACTTGTTGTTGTCCCGTGGTTTCCCTTTAACGCAAAAATTGGGGGTGCCTCAGAAATTGGACGACCAATATGGGGTTGATCAATATTCCTGGCCCAACCACGGGTAACTTTTCCCATGTGACGAATGTCATCTTTCTAGCGGCTTTCCCCATGGCCATCCCATGTTTCTGGGATCTTTGGATCAACCCCGATACGGACCAGCGCTGAGAGCACCGCCCAAAAAGCGCGCGCAAACGCGCACAGGCGCGTCGGACCGCGCCGGACCGCGCCGGACCGCTTCCGCGTTTGGGGGAAACACATCTCTAGGGGTTGATTCCGACCATTCTTTTCAGCCATCCTTCTTTTCAAACACCGGCGCTTTTTTTGGGGGTTCGGATGGTTGTCTGGAAAGACTCGGATCCCTGGAAAGAATGCAAATGGAAGTGTCCCCTAGAAAATCCCATCGACTGGGCGCATCGGATCGAAGCGCATGGAAGCGGGTGGCCTCACCCACTTCAGGTAGATCTTCTGCGGCACCGCCTGCTCCAGCTCCTCGAAGTCCGCGGTCTTAGTCGTTCCTCTCGCCTTCCAGTCCTGGAGGGGCGACTGGGGGGTCTGGGTTGTTAGATTTTCTTGGAGCGACTGGAGGGGTTGATGACATACGCAAAGTTAGACTAGTACTTATAGGGGCTGCTTAGGGAGCCGGGGTTGGGGGGGAGGAGGAGGGAGGCCTAAATAAGGAGGCCGTATTGAGGGCTTGTTTGGGCCCCCTCTCTCTTCCCCCTAGTCCCCATGATTCTGAAAACAGATCAATACCTATGTTCATTCATTATGGTTGACTTACTGGATCTCTATAAATACGATCAATCTGTCAGGAGCATAGCCGATAAATATCTTTGGATAATATGGTGGAGCACTTAGTGCTATTGGTGTGATATAGAATTGTTGTGTATGCTTCGATGAACCGACGCTACCGGAGGCGCTTTTGCACGACCGTCCAAGGAGGAATATCCGAAGAACACCCACTATAGGAACTAGACGGGTGTTTGGGAACTGCAAACCACATTTGTTGTAAATTGTTTAGCCCCTTATATCAATTGCGATAGCGTCAGCCCAAAGTTCATATTCATACAATCAGAAAAGGGTTCCTTCCGAAAATGCAGATCTCAAAACCAACGACCGAAAAGGCCTTGTTTTTCCTCTTTAGTACACTATGTATGTCCCTACTAATCATCACTCCCCTCGACCACTTTGATTCCCCCCCCCCCCCCACAAAAAAAGGGGTATCTGCTCCCTTTGCACGTAGGTCTTAACCAGCTAGCTACAGTGCTTCCATTTCTTGACAATCCAAGAGTTTGGACAAGGCGAGCGGTTTGATAGGCAAATCGACAACTTCCAAACGGCCAAAAGGCGAAGAGCAACCGAGAAGACTTCCTCAGCTTTGCCAGCAACCAAAAAACATGTTGGATTTGGGCCCATAGTGAAGCTTGCGATGTAAACCCAAATACCATCTCTCCACCCGTCATGGAGGATTTGGGACAAGCTTGGCCCATATATGGGCTACACAACAAGCAAATACGTTCAGAGCCCCTAAACTACTAAGAATAAATTGGGAGATGTTTCCTGTGGTAACAATACCTAAACTGAAAATAGGTCGGGAGCAGATGCCAGGTGACCCCTGGGTGGGATGAGGAGAAAACAAACACCCCCGCTGCCTGTTCCCCCCCCCCCCCCGCCCCGCCTCCATGCCATTGGCCCCGTCCGCAATTCGCGGAAAGGACACTTTGGCGCGGCACTTTGGCCGCGAACAAGCGCTGGATGCAGAAGCGAGCGGCCGGTTTTACCTGGACCCGGTCTAGGTATGCACAGTGAATTTTCACCTCCCCTAAAAGAAAAAACAAAATCACATGATCTGATGATCATGACGTAGTGTGGTAAGTACTCCACCGCCCCCGCCATTTCAGTGCTTCATGGCCGTCCCAATGTCTGTGAGTGCATGGCTCTCGCTGACTTCAGCTCGTTCTTCGCCCTGCGAACTTTGGCCTCGTTTCGCCCCCGTTCAACATGATGTTCTGGTTCTTGGCCCGGAGCAAAACGCCATGTTCTTACCATTTGTTTAATCTATAGTGCGGAGCCCTGCCACAAAAGTTTGGATTTCCTGGAATGACCGATGAAACTGCGGCCCAGATGATGCCGTACTTCTTCACAAAGCCAAATGTCGGAGTCTCCGCTCAGGCAAGCGCCTGCTATCCATTAGATAGCGTGCAAGGCCTTCAGCGCAATGTTTGTCTTCAATGTGCTTCAGCCCCCTGGACATTAAGAAAATATAATACCAGAAAACATATTCATATTGGGATGCATTCTGTTTAAAGCCAAAACGGGGAAGACACAATCCTAAGCAAATGGAAGTTATGCCGTGGTGTAAGATGTTATTCCAATGTTTGGTTCACACCTCCTGGTATAAAGGCTTCAGCAAACGCAAATTCATCCAGAAGGGTTATTGCGCGTAAATATGTATCTACGAAAATACATGACTCAACGATAGCCACCTATGGGAGTAAAATCCGAATACTAAGGTCAACAAATAGGTGTGTAGTCTTGTCGGTATACAAATAAACACAACTGCCCACAGGATTTGAAAAAGAAAAAAAACATGCGTAGCTTACACACACGTGGTGTTCAGTCGGTTCACTTCAGCAACTTCATGTAGCCATTGCTCATAACCCATACACAAACCACAACAAGCGTTCGCATCAGCCGCAAAGCTCATAGCAGTCAAAATGCCAGCCCGAACACGTAAATCAGACCGCTCGGCAAGCTTCACAGGTCGACCGTAGTCTCTACTGCTCTCCCACATCTCTCGGGCGCGGACGGCCGCAAAGTTGTAGGCCTACCGGGCGAACGTGTGTAAACAGGGATCCATCAAAGTGACATCCGCAAAATGGCATTCTAAATATCTTTGACCCCAGCAAACAAACAAAGTACCTGGAGTCCTCGCTTACGAGCAAGTGAATATTGCCCCAAAGGGTCCAAACTTGCTGTATGCCACTACCATGGTCGTCCCAAAAAGTACAACATCCATGAATTCAGTGAGTGAAAGTCTCCTTCTGACCCGAATCGTTGGCACTCCAAGGCGATCCCATTTTTCAAGGGTCGGAAGCAGCGCGAACTGCGAAGCCGTCGAACGAGAAACGCGAAACTTCGACGTGCGCTCGCACTCGCCTTCAGGGCATACCTCAGCGCGCTAGCCGGAGAAATGACTTGGCATAGGTGACCTGTTGGAAGAAGATGGATCTCACCGGTACCCTCCCACCAGTTAACATGGAACCTGACAGGCGTCCTGGAAGACCATTTGACTGGTGGGAGGGTGAATGGTTCATAAAACCAATCTAAACCAGTGGAATCCATCTATTTCTATCCGAACTATCCGACGAAAAGGACAACTATGTGACTTCGAATTGATGCTCGGTGAGCTTCCGAACCTGTCCAGGGTGGTCCTTTTGACCCCAAAGGACCAATTTGACTTGGACGCCTGCACTTCGTCGGTTTGGGTCAGACCAAAGGTTCATGGTTTCCACTACCCCCAAACCGAAGCTACCCCTAGGCTTTCATGGGATATACAACCACTTTTCATAGCCACTACGGGTACATACCCCCAATTTCCCTTAGGAATTGGAGGGGGGACTGGGTTTCCACAGCGAAAGGAAGCGAGTCCCAAACCCCCCGGGGATTGCCCCCAGGTGATCTCAATTGGTGGTTCTGAGGGTTTGAACCTCTGGTTCCAGTCCATGGATCTTGGTGTTCACCCCTTTCAGGTAGTCCATCTGGTACACTCACTCGCTCACCTCAACTGTCATTGGATCCCGCTGGCCAGAGACCCCTCTCACAAATCGCGGAACGGGCCCCAAGGGCCATGAGAACAACATCAGGCACATGGAGGTTGAGACCAAAATCTTCCCTTCGGCCCCCCGATTTGACCGTGGCCAACTTTTCCCAATTCTTGGTTGAAATATCTTATTGAATAGTCGTTTTCCCTGATGGTCAGCCCATGCATGTCAAGGACCTGTTGATCAACCCACACCAGTTGACCGGATTCACAAACCCTTCCAATTTATCGGGGGGTTCCCCTCTAGTGATGAAGCCTGCCTAACCCAGGGTGGACCCCCATCTCTCAAAGTCAACTGGGGGTTCTGCTTAATCCGGGGTTCCCAATACACCTGCTACACCCAATATTCACTTTTGCAGTGTATGAAAGGATGTGACGCTAACACTTGACTAAGATTGAGCTCGGTATTTACCTAGAAAAACCAAGAAAGTAAGGATATTTGGAGTAGGGGCCATTTGCATAAGTCCCCGGACAAAAAAACAAAAACATAACAATCATATGTCCAGTGGTTATTGCTTCGCTTTAAACCAACATCCGCAAATAAAACATGGTCGTACCCTTCCTCCTGGGTACCTCGAAGATCAATTTCCTTTTCGAGGGACCCCCTGTCAGGTGCCATGTTCATGTTGACCCCGTCTCATCAACCCCCGCTTGTCTTAATAGGGGGTGAAAACCCCCATCTAAAAGCGATGGTTCCCCACATTTCAGGGACACCCCGCTATTCATAAACTGGGGTTGCTTAAAAATTGGGTCACCATTACCCTCCAAACAGGACAGACCCTGCTGACCACTTGTCCGTTACCTGCGCAAAGACAACCCAGGCGAGGGCTGATTCCCCACATTTCACCCAGAGACACCCTGCTATTCATAAACTGGGGTTGCTTAAAAATTGGGGTCAACATTACCCTCCAAAAAGGACAGACCCTGCTGACCACTTGTCCGTTACCTGCGCAAAAACAACCCAGGCGAGGGCTGATTCCGCACATTTCACCCAGGGACACCCCCCTATTCATAAACTGGTCCCAGAAGGACAGACCCTCCTGACCACTTGTCCGTATTGACCTGCGCAAAGACAACCCAGACACCCAGGGTCAAGATTAGTTGGAGGGCCCTCTAAAAGTGATGATGTCCCGCATTTCACCCAGGGATACCCCTCCATTAAGTAGCTGGGGTTGCTTAAAAGACGGGGTCACCATTAGTGGGCGCGAGGGCAAGCAAACGGAAGTCGTCCACAAAGCCCGCCTCACGGAAAATCCCTCCGAGCTGCTCGCCAGCCTTGATCCCCGCGGTGCCCACGTCCTCAATGGTGCTGGTGTACCTCACGCCCCGCGACTGAAAAATCCGCAGGGCCGTGGGTGGAAACGGACTCCACTGGGATACAACCTGTGGATCTCCATGGGACAAAAAAAAGTGGCATCCTTTTTTTTTCCGGTTGGTTGAGCTCAAAGAGGAGTCCAATGATTGACAAACTGCCGGTGGAATTCAACAGGCAGGCAGGCCAGAATACTTAGATGCCCAGTGGATTTCCATGGGCAAAAAGGAATTGGCATCCGATTTTCTCGGTTGGTGGAGTTAAAAGGGATCGGAACCCTTCCAAAAAAAAGGAAAAAGGGGCGCCCTGGGGACTGGGCAACAAAAAGGGCCTCCCAAAGACTAATCCCCCCATACAAAAAGGGCATTCCATTGTATCACAGAGTTGGACAAACCTCGAGCGATCACAACCCTGAACTCGGAGGTCTGCTGGTTTTTGCGGGGCAAAAGCTACCGAAGCTTCTCACTTTTGCGAAAAAGGGAAGCTAAACAGAACCCTGCCATTTGGACAAAGTCCAAATCCCTATATTAACTCATCACGCAATTGCTTTGGTTCAGACCACCACATGCCGCCTCTCGCTCTCTCTCTCTCTCTCTCTCTCTCTCTCTCTCTCTCTCTCTGATGCTGTGGATGGACAAAATGCTGCACCAAAGAGGTCCAATTTTTCAAGTTGGGGTTCATCCATCTCAATAGGACTTTTGTGCTTGCATCTCACTTCGGGTGCCCGCATCCCCGAAAGTGACCCTGAAACTCCCATGGTACACATGTTTCGGCCAAAAAAGCAGACACATTGGCTGTGGGTCAAAAATAGGTACCCAAAATGGAACCCTTGTAAGTGGAAACATGGACCCAAACCTGTGGTCGCCTGGTTGTTTTATTTTGACCCATACCCATATCTCCAGCTCGCGGCATTTACCTTTTGCAACGGGAGTGACAATCAGGCTCAAGAAAAAATCGAAGGCGGAAGGCTTGCGATCACTCTGGCTTCATAATTTGTCACTTCTGAGCTCGACTCGCCAGATCCAAACAAACGATTGGCAAGTCAAAAATGAGGAAAGCCGAAACCTGGCTTTCCCCCAATCAGAAAAGCCCCAATATTTGTTAGACTTCTCCCAACATTTTCTGGGGGAGCGGGGGGGGTTCTTTTTCTTCCAACCAGAAAAGCCCAGTATCCCAATGGGCTGCGCTCTCTTCACCCGAGCGCACTCCTTGAGCGCCTCCTGCCTGCCAGTGGAGCCCGAAAATCGGGGAGCCCATGGGCCCTTCCCCAAAATGGTTGGCCATTCCCCGGCCCATTTTTGCTTGGGCCATGACTCCAGGTGGATGTGTGCCATAGCATCCCCAACTGGTGCTTGTCTCTCAAAATTGGCCCGAGAGAAGTACCAATCACAAGAAGTCGCATTGGGTCCCAAGCCATTCTTGCTGGTGCGATCGGTAGGGAATGAGAAATGCAATGACTTCTCGATTTAAACCATCCCCGAGTTGGTTTCCAAAGGAAGCTTATGAACATGAAACTGGAAACCCATACCATCGTCAAAGTCACCCAGATTTCAGTGTTATTAAGGGAAAACACCCGACCCCACTTGCTGACTTTGCCAACCACCCAAAAAACAAATGTCAAAATCACGACCCCCGTGTGTCGCAATTTAGAATTTGGACCCCCAAAAAAAACAATCCAACAACAAGGTCCCTTAGAACGACGGTTCCTGTTCCTGGACTCTGGAGTTGTGTTTTTGTCAGACCCTGAAAAAAAAAAAAAAACATCTGAGAAAAGCAAGCGTTTTCCGGGTCCTCGTTTTTGACACGCTCCAATTCTGCGACACCATCTTTTGCTGACCTACCGAAACGCGCCGGGGTAACGAGCAAATGATTGCCAAACGGCCGGTGGAATTCAACAACCCAGGCAGGCAGGGCCAGACTACTCAGCTGCTCAGTGGATTTCCATTGGGAAAAAATGGATCGGCATCCGATTGTTTTGGTTGGTTGACTTTAAAGGAATTTGAAAGTTGAAAAATGGGCACCACTGGGCAACCGAGAATAGTAGGTAACCAGCAGCTCTCCATTCGGCTCTTACAGGGTGGCAAGCCCTTGGCTACCTGCTAGGTGAATGGACTTGCCTGCAACAGGACAAGGCCACCTATGGTAAACCTCCAGATTGCGCAGATTAATGGCTTTGAGCTGCTTTTTTGTCGTGCGATTAAGAAACTATGAATAATTCAGGCGCAACGTCAAAAGGATAAGCCATCCCTGACACAAGAATCGATTGCATCCGAAAGAGCCTCGCCGGTTTTGCATCGCAATCCTACATGAACTAGATAGAGACTCTCAGTCGGGTTGCACAGGTGATGCTTTTGGGGTTAAGCAAGCAAACCAACCAACCAACCAACAAACAAACAAACAAGCAAACCAGCAAATTATCAAGCAAAAAAACAAAACAATCAAGCAAATAAGCAAACAAAAACAAACAAGCAAGCAAGCAAGCAAACAAGCCAGCAAACTATCAAGCAACACACACAACACAATCAAGCAAATAAACAAACAGACAGACAAACAAACAAACAAACAAGCAAGCAAGCCAGCAAACTATCAAGCAAACAAACAACACAATCAAGCAAATAAGCAAAGAAGCAAACAAGCAAGCAAGCAACCAATCAATCAATCAAACAAACAAACCACCAACCAAACAAACAAACCCATCCCGAACCAAGCCTAATACAAACTAGTGAAACAAGCAACGGGCGCAATCAAATTGGCATCGCACTGGGAGCCCCGTGCTTCTTGGCGAAGTCCACGATGCCACCGTAAGAAAGGCCATAGCCTCAAGCACGCGAAGGGTGCTTCGAAGAGACGCTTTGGGTTCTCAGTTGTTCAGTGACCCTGGAAAGAAAAAAACCCTTTTTGGGAAGAAAATCTTTCGTGGGGCAGCCAGCGCAAAAAAGGGAAAAGGGGTGCCACTGAATTGTGGATGGTTGCGAGATCCGTTTGCAGCACCCTCAAACCATGGTTGGAACCAGAACGTTTGTTGGTATTTGGGGGTTGTACAAAATTTCTTTGCCCCCAATCGCCGGCCAATCGCGATCCCACAGGGTCCAATCGCGCAGCAACGTTGGTCATCGCTGGCTTCTGTTTGCCTTATCTCATGCGCTGGCCTTCCTCCACCCATACCTGAAGGAAGCAACATAGCTCGGATGGGCAGGGGATCAGTGCTAAAACTTGTCCAATCGCCGTCCAACCGCGGTCCAATCGCGGAATTCGGCGGTGAAACTTCGGTTTGCAGCTTCCAGCCTTTGCCAGTAAGCAGATTTAGAAACCACAGCTTGGGCCTGCGCAGACGAAAACAACATTCAGCTTTCCAGGAGGAGCTTTTGTGCGAGCCCGTGCAGACAAAATGAGCAAGACGTGCGTCAGCACCACAATCTAAACACCACGCAGCGTCCAAATTCACAATAACTTCGTTTCCCTTTCGCGGTCCAATCGCCTGCCTTTCGCGGCTCGAGTTTTCCCAATCGCGCAGTTCAACAAGTTGCCGCTGTTCATAAGCTTTAGGCATGCAATTACGGACGGCCCGCATTTGCGTTGGGGGATCGAATCATTCCGTTGGGTTTGCGAGCGGTGCGAAAAGGAATTCGTAACCATCCGCAGTAGCTGGCGGCTTCTGGAGTCCTTCAAAAATGGGGGTCATCACCCAAAAGAAAGGGGTCATGAGCCCATTTTTAAAGGGTCAGCAGGAGAGTCCAGGTATTGTTTTCTTCTTCTTTGGGGGGGGGGGAGTAAAAGGACACCACTTATCGTTTGTTGCACCTGTGTTTTTTGGCGGAAGGGGTGGGTGGGTGGGGATCTATCGTCTGCACACCTGGGTCCCTAAAGGGTCGACGTAGCTCCTTAGAAGGCAATTGAACCCTGGAAAATTAGGGGTATACCTCATCCACTGCAAATATACGATTCATTGCGAAAACGCTTTATGCCCAAGTCGTTTTGCGTGATCTGATTCGTGCGGATAAGTGTCAAAATAGGGGACTCCAAAAATGGACGGTGTTCCTTTTGGTTTCTCGTAAAATCAACCACACACATCACAAACCTCAAAACACACAGACACACACACACACACACACACACATGATGGTTCTTGTGACATATGATACATGCCATGGCGATCTCATGGCCGAGTGACGGGACACTTCCAGGTGCGCTTTCTACATGAACCACACTCAAAATCATTCCCCCGAATTGCTTTTGTGGTGGAAATGTTATGCTCGTTCCCGCTTCTCGCCGCTCAAAAAGAACCATGAACCAAGTTGGGTGTGTCTTCTCCAAGGATTAAAACCCAAACTGCTGGTTTTTCCTGTTGGTTTCCCCCAAAAAACCTCAACACAGGATATACTCTCTCTCTCTCTCTCTCTCTCCTTGAGTGGATGAGAAACAAAAAGGTCTGTTTGCCACTAAAACTGTTTAAAGTCCAGGAGCTCTGGAAGTACTTGCTACAACTCACCCCAAACTTGGATGGGCATGTTGGACTTGTCAAAAAAAGCAAGCGTTGGAATCTGGGGCTTGATGTGGGTAAGTTTGTGAAATCCAAAGCAACGCAGAACCAAACCCTGCGTCCTCCACAAGCTGAACCTGTGTCAACTTGTGATCGGTCAGAAGTGCATGGCCGGCCACTTCGCGGGTGTGTTTGTTGTGTTTGGCTTACAACCTCAAAGGGACATGCAAACCAAGACGCGCACAGTCTTCACAAAAGGAAAGCCAAAACAGCTTTCAAATGGCCCGAGGTCTGAAGAACCATCAGAGCCATCTGGCTTTGAACTTAGGGTGGTAAGTGGATTGCTGCACTCGGGCGAACCGAAGGGCCACAAGGACTTCGAGCAAGAGTCCATGCTCATCAGACACTAAGTCTTTGCCCTCAGAGCACTACACAAATCAAAGTACTGTGTCGAAGTGAAAGTAATTAGAGCCATACCGTATCAACACATATGCAACGACATGTTGGCAGAGCTAGCTAGAAAGGCCTAAAAACTAAAAGCTGAAGTCCCTTCATTGCCCCAAAGAAGGGCTAATGACCTTTTAGGGAAATCCCTGGGTTCATTCCCACATTCCCTATTGCACCAGCAAGAAAATGGTCTTCCCGTTGGTTTCCCTTCAAAAAAACAACTGGGGATGTCCTTACAGGAAACCATAGAGGGACGGGCAGTGTTTATTTTGAACGTCCAAGTAGTCCACCATGTCCGTCTTTGGCGGCTGCGTGAGCATGAGCTTCCAACCGGCATCCCAGGGCACGGGACCGTGATCTTAGAAGCGCCCGGCAACACCCGGAGGGGCGTTGGATTGAAGAGCGCACGCCATAGGTGTCCTTTGGTGGGAAATAGATGGATATCCCTGGTGGATGATTAAACCATCAGGTAAACCAGGAATCGGTTTATATATTGTTCGACCAAAATAAGCAAAAAGGATCGACACCTATGGCGCACGCTTCTCAGCGGGGTTCCCAATGACCGTTCGCACACCAACTTGGCCAGTGCTCCTGGAGCTCCACGCCTCCGGTGAACTGGCCTGCCAAAACGGTTTCCCTTCCAAAAAGAAACACTGGGGATACCCTTGAAGGAAACCATAGGGGATGGTTTGTAGGGGTCATTCTCACATTCCCTACCTATGCACCATCCCATGTTTCTTAGGTTCCGTGCCGAGGCCCGCGAGCAGCAGGCCGAAGGTGAAGCCTCGAATCGGGCAAAGAAGAAAACCCCGCACGAGCCGCGCGGAATGCATGCGGGTCTGGATTCATCTGCCCACATATGTTTATATGTATATATGCGTATGTATATGTATAAAAGTTATAGATATGTAATATTTATATGTACATAATGTATACATAAATATATATATATATATATATATACATGCTATCCACCTATCCTCCTATCCCAAGAGACCTCCCTTTTTCCTCTCTGATTCATGATTTGTTCCCATCTAGGGCTAAAAACCAAGGATCTCTCAACTAGGACTAGGACCAAACTAGAGCTAGAAGCAAGGATCTGCATATGGGCACTACCCGATGCTTGTGCTGCATTTGTCTGAGAACACCACCCCCACTAGGGCTAGAACCAAGAACCTCTCAACTCGGACTCCCACATTCGCGTTCATTCGGTTGCATTTGATTCGGGAGAGGGAAGGATTCGCATGGCCGAGCTTCCCGAGGGACCGAGAGCCTGAAGCTTCCAGTTTGTCTTTGGAACTCCGCCTTTGTTTGCAGCATTCCCCAATGCCCCAGGAAAGGCAAACACTGCAAGCGCCAGAGAATTCTGAAACGAGGTAGGTCCCTGGGACAGGGGGACTTCTCGATGTCTATATATATATGCGCATTTGACAAATCATATATAACATAATATGTATATATACACACAGTCGAACCCCGGATGAACTGCCTTCGCTTTACTTCCTTGTAAAACTGCTAAAGCAACATGTGTTCGTTTGAGGGTTCTTTGCTGTCGCTTTGCGTTTGATGGCCTGACTTCGGCCATCGGATGGTCCGAAGACTTCCCTTGCAACTTCAGCCCCGAAAAGGGAGCCCACCCAAAATAGACGTTCCTCCGGAAAGCCTTTGGAAGGTTGCCCAGTGGATCGCAACTTACCCTTGTCGTAGGTAACCAGCCATTTTCCGTTTGGCTGATTAAGGGTGGTTCCCCTTGTTACCGACTATGCAGATAAGTCGATCTACTGAAAACAAAAAATGTCCAGTAGAGAGAAATTCCGTTTAAAACCAACAGTGGAAAGTAAACAAGAATATGTTTAAGCAAAAGGAAGCTGTTCTGGGGCGCCTAATTTCTGCAAATCCGATTCTCCCCGACCAAAAGGCGCCTCCCAGGAGAGGGAACAGCAGGCCCAGCATGAAGTAGAACACCACCGAGGCGCTCCTGAGACAAAAAACGGAGAAAGGCCGAGGCAAAAACAAAACGAAAACAAACAAAAAAAGCGGCCGGAGGTCGTAGAATGTACAAAAATCCATCCAAGTGGCCGTGTTGGCTTCCTTTCCATGCCAAAAGCAGGACCCTTCTGAGGGTTCGACTCTAATAATAAAAAACTGTTTTGCCGGGAGGTGTTTTGTATTGGGGCGGGAGAGAGCGTTTAATTGTTTAGGGGAAAGAGATTAATAATATGGGTATTGTAACCCTTCAGGCCCTAGCAAGGTCCAGGTGGGAGAAATGTGGCAATGGTACGCTTGCTGGTGCGATAGGGAGGGAATGACCTCCCTACTGATTTAGGAATGAACCTGGGGGTTCCCGAATAGTTGTTTTTTTGGTGGCTGGTTTAAAGGGAAAGGGAAAAGACCGCTGTTGGGGGCTCCATGTCACATTTGGACACTTGCAAAAGGGCCACGCTTTCCCGCGTTCAAGGCCGAGGGCCACCAGAGATTTGTCAACAAATCTGAATGCCCACTTCCATTTGCTGAAGCGTCCAAAAAGAGAAGAAGTCCAGTAGTGATAGATTCCTTTGATACCAATAGGGGAAAGTAAACATATTCTTAAGCACATGGAAGCCCATAATAATTAACCCGCAATAGAATCACCGCTTGTGTGGCAAAGTCAAAATTACTTGAATTTCCCCAAGAGGACATGGACAATTCAGCGAGTCTCCCTGGCCTTTGTGTCGAGTGTCTCGCATGTCCCCCCCCAAATGGAATATATAGACAAATCAGGAAGTTTCGTCCAAAGAACATTTGGGAGGTTTTTCCTGCACCCCCAAAAAATGGTGGTTTGCCTTTTTGGCTTCCCTTCAAAACCACCGAAAAAAGGGGGTAATTACCCCCAACAAAAACACAAACAAACACAAACAGACACAGCCGTTTGGTGCAACAATTCGGGGCTCCTTAAAGGATACATCCACACACCATCTGCTTTGCAAGGAATTTGGATGGTCTAGATCAGCCCAGAGCACATTGACATTGACCTTTTGTGAGTCGTAATCAAAACCCGGTATTAAAATGATCTACCCAGAACCATGCAAATAATTAAGAAGGCGGATATCCGCAGCAATTCATGGTTGGGAGTATCCCCCACTAACCTTCATCTACCCGGGCTTTGAGCAAGTGACTCACATGCCGATAAAGGTTTATGTTGGCTCAGAATGAAACAGCTCATGGGGTTACGCAGGTTTTAGTCTTGGCTTCCATATACCAAGGTGCCATTTTGGGGATTCGATTTGGCTGTGGCTCAAAAAACCGGTACCAAAATGGAACTTTAGTAAGTGGAAACATGGACCAAAACCTGCGTAACCCCTCCTGGTTAATTTTGAGCCACACCCATTTTTTGACACTAGATAGTAGGCTTTACACATTGCCACGCGAGATCGAAGCCCTCTGAGAGTGCCCCCCATCGATCCATGTCTCACATCTCTCGGGGAGCCAGACAAGTGGCCTTGGAATAGCTGGTTCGCCAACCTGAAAACAGAAACAGAACGAACCAACACGACCCAAAAGGGCCGGACAACCTGCGAGGCCAAGGCCGAACTCCCTACTTGGCCAAGAAACAAAACCGGGTGCAAAATGCAGTAAGGTTGCACTCAACCAACATCAAGAACGGCGGCAACTGAATCTAGTCAAACTGGACCCTTGTCCCTTGTGGTGTTCTCCTGGTGTGATCCTTTACCTGGCAGGTATCCTTTTAGGGGCATGGTTCTGCGCATGGGTCAGCGCCGTAACGTTCGAAACGCCGCGAAACTGAGGTGACGGCTTGGTGTTCTCGGCGGTCTCATCGAAGGTAGTCAAAGAAAAGCTGGAGGAGCCAGTCGACGGGGTGGAACCTGGTTGCGGTTTGGCAGGCACTGGAGGGGCAAGGGCTCTCCAGTGGTGGTTAAGTTGTGCTGGGTTGGTTCGCTTAGTGTCAATCTGATTGCTTGCGGGCGTGAATTGGCTTGCTTTTTGTCGGCTCGCTTTTTGAGAGAGAGAGAGAGACAGAGAGAGCGAGAGGAAGGTTCAATGAGTTGTCGTATTCGCCTGAGGAGACGGGGGGTGGAGAGAATTGGCCTCTCTACGGGAAGCTTCAAAATGCCTCACCAGAGACTTCTAGAAAACCTACCGGTTTTGTGGGGACAACAGAACCGGTTTTGATAATAATGATAGTTGAAAATAATGCCCAGCGATGCCCGGTCCCCGCAACCAAGGGCTTGACAAACTGTCAAAACCGGATGCAAAATGGATCGAAAGGGTTACCTACTTTCTAAACCCTCAAACTACCCATAAATTGGCATACAACTGGTTTTGTGCTCCAATATTTAATTGGGTCATTTCACCTTTTAGGGTTGGACACAGATTCCCACTAAATGATGTCCACCAAAGGGCTCCTAAGTCAAACTCAAAGCCTTTTTTGGTAACTGGGAGCTGGGGATGGGGAACCCCTGTCTCGTCCGAGAGGAAACACAACCTGGCAATAACATGGTCGACCCAAATGCAAGTCTACGGAAATTGAACCACTCAAAAGGATGGTGTTTCGACCGCGTGGGAAAAGCTACCCGTCCGAACGGACAATTGATCCACCCCCATATATGCTTGGCATGCAGGAGCCGGGATGGGGAGCCTTTCATCCGAGCCCGAAGTCTTCCATTTCCTTTTTTGCCCCTAAAACAAGTATGAGACAATATGTCCAGCAGTGAAATCGGTTCCCTTCAAAACCAACAAGGGAGAATTAAACACCTTCTTGTCAGCAAATGGAAGTGTTGTCGTTATAAACCCCCAACTACCCAGTACTAACTGACATCAAAAGGGTCAAAACTACAAACTAAAATCCAAAAAAGAACCTAAGCTAGGTCCTCCAGTAGAGGGGTTACAATAAGGCTACCCTTTCTTTCTGTAGTCTACTTTAGTAGGGGAACCCTTCCCCAACGAAGGGGTGAGAAAGGGCACCTAGCTGGGGGACTTAGAAAGGAACCGGACGGCGAGGACTTCAGAACCCCCGAAAAGCCAACAACACCCCCGCCTTTCTCCGCCAGCTGCGCCTGGTGCAACGTTCTGGTCTGGCCCTGGCGTTCTGGCAAAAATGCGGAATCGAAACAAACAACCGGTGGGGACTTGGCAAAAAAACACCTGCTTAGCCCCTGAAACCACCGGTTTCTGCTCACCAAAATTGAATGGGATGGTGGCTTGCTGGCAATAAATACTGTGGATGGACAGAATCCCGCACCACTTGGATTCCATGGTGGAAACCATTGTTTGTCGGTATTTACAGGGGAATCGACTCCTTCCAGGGTTGCTTAGGTGGTGCGAAATGGATTGCGCAACCATCCACAGTATGGCCCAAAAGAATGGTTGGCAAATTCCCGTTTCTATGGTAGTTTGAGGGTCCAGGCGGTTGCCCTCAGCGAGCCCGAAAGGTGATCTCTACAAAAACGGTTTGGATAGGCGCGGTTTTTGTGGATCTACACCGGATATAAGAGTACTACAAGAGTACTAAAAAAAGAACCAGGGGGAAGGGTGAAAATCCACAACAAGCGCATCCAAATCGATTTCTAGATGAGCCCCTTTTGTGTTGCCATGACTAAACATGGGAGGAGAAACCAAAAGGTCATTTCAGGTTGAGTCGCGGTGGGCAAGTGAGAAGAAATATGAGAGCGGGGCTGCCCCAACGAAATTGGCTCCCCTCCCATTTCAACGAAACACGAGGGGCTGGTTTGGTGACAAAAACAGAATGCAGGTGTTGCCTCCAAGAGGCTGACCGTTCTAGCTCCCCAAAAGCTTCAACAAACCTATGCTTTATTTTCATCGGGTGTCCCAGGGAGGGATGCCCCGAGGTGTCATGTCATTGGAACTCACCCTCTAACGAACACAAACGATCTTCTGCACAAGAAAAAAACAGGGAACCCCACAAACCAAACAATTCCCAACCTGTTCCTTGGCCTTCTGCACACGGAAAATCACAAAATACCAGATTATGATTCATGTTTCCTCCCTTAAATCATTTAAAGTGAGTGTGAATTTCGATAGGGCGCCCTTTGATGTGGACCAGAAAACTGGGGCCTCATGTTCACCAACGACTCATGGCGCAATAGTTTTGGTGGAGACGTCCCTCGGGTTTGGCTAAACAATTTCTCTTACCACCCAGGATTGAGACGTAAAAGGTCACTTTGGGCTGATTTTGTACTGGTTTTGCCCTTTTTCAGGGGATCCATCCAACTGGGTTTTCAACCCTCGGCTTCCCTTTCAAACCAATGCAAATGGGGTACCCTCAACGAAGACGAGCCACACAAATGAACATGAAGGAACACCAGGACAACAGGCGTGCATCTGTTTGTAGGCTTTGTACCCCCAGAAATGGTGGGTGCTCAACTTTTGGCTTCCCTTTGGAACCAGCAAAGCAGGGGCGCCCTCAAAAAAAGACGAGCCACCCAAATTGCGCTTCAGGCAAAGATTTCTCACGCGCGTTGGATTTGTGTTTTGTCCGAGGCGTGGGTGTCGGACAGCGGCGCGGTGGGCACTCAGACCCACGGCGCCTCAGGCTTGGACCGGTTCGGGCGACGCGGACCCATGCTCGGGCCCGGAGAAACGAACAGAGAGAAGAACGGCACAAGCATAGGTGTCCATTTAGGGGAAATGGATGGATGGCCCTGGTAGATGATTGCACCACCAGGTAAACCAGGAATCGCCGTCTATTGTTCTACCAAAACAACCAAAAAGGACACCGATGGGCACAAGTTCTTGTGCTGGCAACCGAATCTGGCTGATTTGATAGGCAGGGAACCTTTGGGAACGAGCCCTAGAAGTCTGCCCTCATACCCAACGCCCGGAAGGTCATTGCCTGCCGAGCGCGCACCAGCAAGTGATTGACCGATGAAAACTCAGCATAGTGAAATCTTTTTCAGGACCCCGAAATCTCCTAGGGACCCCCTTTGATTGTTCGTTTGCAATGGTGCCCTCTGGTTTGGAAAGCCAAGGTCTTCAAACCAGCTGGACCCTTGTTTCATGTTTCAGGGAGGTAGGGTATTCTGCGCAGATGGCTGATGGCTGCTCTGCTGACACGTTTGTTACATCGCTCTGGTGAAGCCTGAGTGAAGGGGTGCCACTCGAATTTTTGGTTGGTTGACTTTAAAGGGGAACCTTCCCCAGAAAAGGAAAAAAGGGCACCACTGGGCAACTGAGAGGACATGCGTTGAAACAGCCGGCAAGTTGGAGGACTTAGCCAGGTGCTTTGAGTTTCTGACAGCACGCTTCTGGAGCATGATCACTCCTGGAATCAGTACTAATGGAAATTCACATGTCATAAGTGGGCTATGTGCTCCAGAACTCCCTCGTCGTGATAAAATGGTTCACAAAGGTTGTTGGGCCAACGATCAACGCGCTCTTGACCACTTGCTCACTTTGTCCGTATGGGTGCGTCTTCTTGGCTGAAAGGAGGCGTGATTGAAACGTTGGAAGATTCGCAAGATGCCGCAAAGCGCCAAATGACAATGGGCAACTTTTCGCATAGTCATGGGACATATCATCTTTTTAGTGGCTTCCCCCAGTGAAAACCCCATTTTCATCGGACCTTTTGATCAACCCCCACACGCAGAACCACAACCATTGGCATGTTGTGTGAGGGATCAAGAAGGCAGGTTCGGAACCCTACCCATTCGGAACCGGACGGCCCAATTCAACATAACACGGCCCAATGCCAACCACTGCCACTTAGCTCAGCTGCCACAAGCAACGTTGCAACCATCAGTCGTTCAGCTGATTCTCAAGGTGTAAAAAGAAACAAAAAGGTTCAGGAGCCACCAGGACCACCCAACGACCGTTGTTCTCAATTTTGTGAAAGTGCCGCCAATTTGAAGGCACTTGTGAAAAAATGCAATCGGCAGCACTTCAGGTCTATAACCCACCATTCTCAGCCCATTCATGGCAGCTGGGTCTGCTAAGCGTTTTCCAAGCTCAGCGGCCAGAAGAACTGTTTGCATATTTGCCACCCCCATCGTGAGCCTAGATCTGGACAAAATTACTAGCAAAGGCTTCTGAAATCTTTAGCGAAAAGCAGCATGGGGCAACGCGGGGCGACACGGGGCAATATACAGAGACAACACAGGGCGACACGCAAGCGACACGAGGCGAAGCGAGCACGACGCAGGGCGGCGAGCGAGCGACGCTGGCCGAAACGCACGTGACACGCAAGCGACACGCAGGCGACACGCAAGCGACACGCAAGCGACACGCCTTCGCAGCCGAAGTGATGCTTTGGGGGCTAAAATGTCATGCCTTGGGGCCCCAAAGCAGCACTTTCACTCTGCGTGACACAGGGCAACACGCAAGCGACACGCAAGCGACACGCAAGCGACACGCAAGCGACACGCAAGCGACACGCAAGCGACACGCAAGCGACACGCAAGCGGCACGGGGCGACACGCAAGCGACACCGGGCGACACGCAAGCGACACGGGGCGACGCGCAGGCGACACGCAAGCGACACCCTAGTGACACGGAGCAAAACGCAAGCGACTCGAGGCGACGCGCAAGCGACGCGCAGGCCGAGCAAACGACCTGCAAGTGACACGCTCGTGACGAGCGATGGAGATTTGCATGGCCGTTTGCTGTAAGGGTCATGAGCAGGTTTTGTGCTGGGGTTGGCGCGGCGCACAGCGTGCTGACTTTGGTCACACTGCACTTTTTGCCCCGCCCCTGCCCTCGTATATCCGTCCGATTTTAGGGGGTTTGCGAAAATTTAGCAAAGCATCACTTAGCCAAACAGTGACGTTGTTTGTGTTTTTCCCCAAATGACAGGAATGCACCAAACCGCTGCGCTCTTTATGTTGACCCTACAAATCAAATCGGATCCTAGAAACTGGGAAGCTGGGAAGGACAACAAGCAGTCATGAAACAAACGTACAAACCGAATAGACTCTTGATGGCATATTCAGTCAGTCAGCATGCAGCCCTGGCATTTCCAATATCAACTTTCCTGAAGGGCAGCCCCTGCTCACATCCTTACTTCGGTGGTTGTACGTACTCCTTGAGTAATCAAACCACCCCAAGTTTGCTTTTGCTCATACCCTCTCCCCAAAAGGTATACCCATTACATCCCATTACAAAATAGGTGGTGACATGGAAAGTTGGGGAGAAATATGTACTTCCACTCGACATATCTCAGCAACATGCAGGCTTTGTTCAGATATCAGAGCTCTGGAATACATACGGCGCGTCTTGTTGAGGGCACCCTTGTTCGGGTAAAGGGAAGCCAATAAGAAGCTGCTCTTTGGAGAGGCTTCATTTGAAGACTCTCTCCTCTTTTGGACGGGCCCACACCCCCTCCCTATAATAAAAACTGAGCCTCATTGATAAACTGGTTGGTTGATGAATATGGGGTCAACATTGGGGTCCCAACGCCCCATATGTCTTTGCCACGCGGCCGAGACTCCCAGATCACCTGGCTGTTCTTCTTTCCGGTTCGGTCAGTCAGTTCCCCTGACGCGTGAATGCCTCACTTCCGAAGGTGTGGATTAGCCAAAAAGCGTCCAAACTGGTGGCATGACACCAACACTCAGTTGCGCAACGGACCCCAACAAATGTTGTTTAGCCTTTTGTGGCCATGACTAAGCATGGATCAACATGGGGGAACCAAAAGGTCAAAAGGTTGGTGTTGGGAAACGAAAGGAGTACGAAGTCCAAGAACTCAGGGTCAGGGAGTGATGTTTCTTTGTTGTCGAGGTGCATAAGCATCCCACAAACTTAGCAGCACCTGTGAGACCTGGCTGGTCGGTTTCCTCTTTCTTGAAGGGACCATCTGTGCGGCGCCACAACCAGAGTGAAAGAGCAACCCGAGCCGAATCTTTGAACCAAGCCTGAAAAAGCTCACACGGCCTCAGCCACTAAAGTGGGCACCGCCGATCCCCAGCTGCTGTACCACATGCTTGGCAACTTGGAACTCAGTGACTGCAACCACTCCAAAGCAAGATTATGGGTTGTTCAAATTGGGCACACAAAAAATGATAGTTTCCTTTCGGTTTCTCTTGGAAACGGCGCCCTTTGGGTGCGCATCATTGGGATCATTGGTAGGGAACAGCCTAATCTCACTCACCCAACGGCGGAAATAAGAGGTCGACCTTCAGGTGGCTCCAAACCCTCCCAAACCACTCCAGAGCCTACCTGGGCCAAGACCCCAAAGTCCTCAGCTGTTGAATAGACCAGGAAAACCAAATGGCGATGGCGATGTCAACTTGCTTTGGTCGCAAGTGAGTAAGCGAGAAGGGTCACTTCGGCCGCAAAGAGCGTCAAGATGAAAAACCAGCTTGAGAATCCCTTGGCCCGCGTTGCCCAACCACCCCCAGCCCCCACTTCTTCTGGGATAAAGGGAAAACAAAGGGAACCGCCCGTTTCCGGGAGTCATAACCATGGTGAGTGGGCTAACACAAACCAGTCAAATAGCCTAGATCTCCCCCCATTTTCTTCTCCAGAATGGAAAAGGTACGTCTAACCCCACTCCTCCTGATCCCACGCCCCCTAACCCCCCAACCTTCCTCCCACCCATATGGAATCCCTCACCGGGTGCAGGGACAAGGGGTGCAGGAAACCTTTGACTTGAACCACGCCCCCTTGACTCCACACCCCCAGCCCGAAGCCCCGGAAACGCCGGGGCGCAGGCTTCGGAAATCCCGGGAGACCCGCGCCAAGCTTTGCAGGTTCCGCAGGTCGGCGGCGCGGTCCGCCGCCAGCTGCGCCGCCCAGAGCAGCGAGAAGATCCTGTGGCTGGGGATGTCCGGGTAGAGTCCACTACTTGGCTCTAAACACGGAAACCCCACCACTAAACCGACTGAAAGATCTATAGGCTAAGTTGAACCGGATGGCCTTCGCGAGCCACCAAGACCAGGATCTTCTGTATTGAACCCTTTGTATCCCTTCTTTGGGGGTGCCTGTATGTTTGGGGTCTTGAGTTGAGTTGCTTGCATTTGCTTCTGGAGCTGGTGTGCCTGCCCAAAGGTAATTGTCGAAAACATGTTCTACTTGGGTGCTCGATTCGCCAAGTTAGTCACGTTGTAATTGTAATCGTGCGGTTTTAACCCAGGTAAAAACGTCCCAGGTTAACATGAAGTTGACCTTGTTAGTGGGTTGTAACGCAGGTGGCTAACCACTCGCTTCACTTGGCCGAACATCCGTGTACACTGGCCAAACAAATAATAAATGCAATTGTAAAAAAAAAAAAAACTTTCCCCTAGAATCCCCTGCACGCTGAGAACGCAGGCTCGCGCAGTCAATTTTGGACGCCGTGAATCATCTTAGTATTATAGTTTCTTCCCCTGACAATAAATCCCCCTCTAAATAAACATCGACTCGGGGGCAAACAATATTGATTCATACGGGAATTGGGGGTCAGACGGTCAGATGGGCTCTCTGGACTCATTTGTTGCAACGGGCAAACTTCGAAAGGGACAGACTCCTTGTTTTTGTTTGGTTTCGCTCTGTCAGCAAAGACTAGTGAAGAAAGACAGTCGGCCCTTCACAAGCTGTGTCCGTGTTTTTCCCCGCGCAGGGAACCGTGGACACATTGACCCGCCGGATGGAAGGTTTCCGAATGAACAGTTCTCCATTCGGGTGAGTCTTAAAAGGGGAATCGGAAGCCCCGACTAGGGGAGGTGTTCTTTTGGTTTCCCTTTAAACCAAGCCCAAGGTACCCTTTGGGGTTCTATAGTGGGGTTCCCGACCTCGCCATTCAACTTTTCTCCCTCGATCCAGACCGTGCCATCTTTTTGAAGTGGATAGCGTGTTCCCAGGCTGTGCGAATGCTCGAGGAGTTGGTCATTGAATGACCAAAATTCTGCCATTTTGGCGGGTTGTATTGATGCAAGCATGTCCGGCCCTGGTTCAGGAAAAACATGCACTATTCAGGTAAGACGGGTCATGATTCAAATGTTTGTTGACTCAACCTCCTTTGCCTTCTTTTCCAAGGGCTTCAAAAATCCTAGGGCTAATCCTGGTCATGGTGCCCGTAGAGGGAAGTCAAATACGATGACCCCATGCGCAACAGGATGGTCTCTATGTGGCTTCACAGTAAAGCTCAACTAGTGTGCCTCTCGAACTGTTGGGTTTAGAACTGGCCTGTTCTAAAAGTAGCATTGGGGGCTCAGCGGGCCAGGAAACACAAATGACTAGGCTGCAATTGAAGATATTGTGAACTTAAAAGGGCGTGATAAGTGACCACCCCACGGCTGCCACACGAATTGCGCTTGTTAATTCGACCTGCGGTTGACTGGATGGAGTCTTTGGAAAACACCTGAGAAGCATAAACTTCTGTCTCACTGAAGTACTGGGGGAGATCAAGTTGGGTGGAGGTTGGTTCGGGGGATCTGGGTGCGTCTGTTTAAGGCACCACCCATGGTGGTTATCCTTTTGGCTTTCCCGTAACACCCCAACAAGTGGTAGCCTGAGTGCCCTCAAAAAAAAGCACTCATGTTGGGGGAGTGTTGGTTGTATTTCAAACTAGTGCAACCATATTGATATGTTAACCCTGGACTAAGCAGAACCTCTGGTCGATATTGATCGGGGGAGGCTACCGTCACGAGTCATTTTTTCTCCCCAACCTTGAGGAGGTCCCCCAATTCCCATTTTTCGTGGACTTTTCAGGGGGCCAAAGGCGGGGGGCGCTATCATAGGTGGCCTTTTGGTAAAATAGATGGGTTTCCCTGGTAAATGGTTGATACACCCCATCTAAACCAGGAATCGCCCTCTATTTTTTGGCAAACCAACCAAAAAGGACACCTATGGGCGCTATCCCAGGACAAGCCTAAGCCAATGAATGTAAAATCCCCCCCACAGCCGGCAAGGGGTCCAGATCCGAATTTTCGAGTCCCCGAAAAGAAAAAAAAAATGGAGCTTCGGCTGGGACTTCCTGGGCCTTGTGGGTTTGCTTTTGGGGCTCCATCGATTCTGACTCTGGGACTTTCGGGGTTTGGATCTGCTCTTGGCTCAGTTGCCAGGACCCAAAGAGAAAAGCTTCACCTTTAAGATTGACTAAAACTGGACCAGCTCGGGGAAACCAAAAGTCAATATATCGATTCGCTTTGGGCAAGTGAGTCTTAAGTGGCAATGACTACCTCTGATTCTGAAGGCATGTATTCCGCATGGTCCACGGGTGCTTTTTGTTACACCCAAGGAGACTCACTTTAATCTCGGTCCTTTGGCTCGGCGTACTCACGATGGGTGTTTTGTGTACACCCACTGAACAACTTGGGCTTTCTTGGGGCCCGAGGTTGAAATCCACGTGCCTAGCAAGAACAGGGAGCCACAAACACGCATGCCCAGGCGCGTAAAGCTGGTGCCGAAGAATCGGAAGGCGACGCCGGCTTCTTTGGGCAAATGGTCCAACTCCTGCGTGTGGCTGAGCCCAGCGCTTTTTGCCTTTGGTCCAAGGGCGGGCGGTTTGGATGCCAGAACTACAGTAGTGTTCTGATCCTAAAACTTCTCTTTGTTGTGAGCAACTCCATGTTCAAAGGGTCAGAAGGAGACTCCAGGCAAGATGAAAGGCCCCTGTTTATGGGCATGCAGGGCTCGATGTCCTTCGTTTGGGGTTGGCTTAAGGGAACCGAAAGGAAACACATCCCCTATGTTGATGAATGCCCACCCAGTGTATTTGTTTGGACTATGCCAGGATCATTCATGGTCTTGGTGTCAGATAATTATTGTCTGTATATAGTAGATTGACCAGTTCGCATTTAAATATATATATATATATATAGATAGATACACATGTATTTATTTGTTTGTTTGTTGCAAGTTTGGAGGAGCTTCGCAATTGGGAAGAAGCTTCCGAAAACGTGACAATTGCACGGCTTCTGGCTAAGAGGTGCATTCAAGGAAGCTCGGAAAACCTCTTTGGAACTTAGATTCCTGTTATGTCCCTTTCCTGACCATCAACAGCCATCCCTTTGAGATTGTCAACATGGGGAAGCCCGCACAAATTGCTGGCGGTTTGCCTTAAAAGGTACTCTCAAAAGCTGCCAACAAAAGCAATTGCCAAACAACATGCAGTGAGGTGGAACCAGCCACAAGACCGTGTCTTTTTTGCGCTTGTTCTTCTTTTAACAAACAAAGCACGTTCACTTCTTGGAACAGTGAAAACCCAAACCACAAACAACAACTAAAAGCAAACATCACCAACTAAAACATCGAGGAAACACACAAAAACAACACGGTGCACGGAACTCAGTGTCCGCCTGCCACTGCAACTAGATCAAGGCTCCGAGCCAAACGAAGTTTGCTCCGTGGCTTCTTGAGACTTTACCTGAGCGGGGCTCAAACAAAGCGGTGGACCTGTGGTTCTGGGATCAATTTGACATTTTTTGGGGGGGGTTATCAAAGTCAGAAAATGGTCTTGGCTGTTGTCCACTCTACTTGGGTGACTTTGATATAGAATAATGGGGCCAGTGTGGCTCTAAGATGTTTAAGGTTTATGTTGGCCCAACTCTGAGAATCGGGCAAAGGGTGCGCCTAGAGGTCATGGGCCTTGCAAATGTCGTTCCGTGTGTAACCAGGTAGACCACCCACTATCTCACTGAGTGGATGCTCCAGCAAAAGATCAAACATTTTTAGTGCCACTAAAACTGTCTTTCCAGAAAGTATAAAGTCCGGGAACTTAGGAAGTGAGCTACCGCGGGTTTCGGGCGCATGTGACTTGATAGTGGCCATAGAAACAATAAGACTCCGGCCTGAAAACGTCGATCGTGAATCAATCATGGTGCCGCTGTTCTAGCTTGTCGTCACTTGAACTCAGATGCCCGGTGGCCATGGGTAAAGAAAGGGCATCCGTTTTTGGTTGGTTGAGTTTCAAGGAGTACCCTTCCCCCTAAAAACGTGGGAAAAGGGCGGAATCCACTGGGCAATTGGGAGAAGGAAAGCAACCACACTTCCATCATGGAACATGCCAAGGTCGCGTGACTCTGTGCTTTTCCTTTCTTCCGAAAGGACACCTTGCCGTCGCAGACTAGAGAAACAAATGAAGTCCTCAAAGGCTCCATGTTGGGCCCAAGAATGGCTGGCTGTCCAGTCAAGCTGCAAATGGTTCAACCCAGAGCTTCATGCCAGGGACTCTCAAATTTGGGCATTCCGCCTTTGAGCTCAGTTTGCAGGGTAACCCATTTGCTGCCCCACCGGATTTCCTTGGAGCGGCGATGGGCGGTTTCGGATTCAGAGGTTTGCTGTTGGGGCTACCGTCCCGAACAGTTTTAAAGTTAGCAAACCAACAATTTAACTTGCCTACTAACCAAACTTGAGGCTCCGCCTGATGGACCATGACCCACTATTGATTTGTTGACAGTGGTTCCCCTGTTTCATGTCTAAATCACTGTGACAATGTTTGAACTACCTCGAATATTTTAAGTGGATCAGGCTCAACCCTACCAGCAGCCAATGTGTTCTTGATGTTGGTTTGTTCAAGATTCGGCGCCTTCCTTTTGGCTTCCCAAAGCAACTCCAAACTCCAAACGGGGGTTCCAAACAACGCACACCCAGCTCCAACATGCAACCACTTTAGGGTAATTATGATATCGACCCTTCTTACAAAAAGGAGCTATGTACCATGAATTTTACCGTGGGAAACCTGGTTCTTCACAAGTGGACCGCGTATTATTCTGTGTTTAAGGTGAGTCTTTGGAGTCGGGGCCACCCATTTATAATGCGAGGCGCTCAGAGAAGACCACAGAGCAAACTCCGAGTCTCGGGCCCTGGCCGATGCGGCAGGGTCCAAACATGGAGGGTCCGAGGGTTTGCGAATTTAAAGTCATGGGGGCTGGGGGGGGAGCGAGGGGAGGGGGGAGGGAGCCCAAATCAGCTCTTTACAAGGCCTAATTTAGGGCTCCCCCCCAGCCCTGTGAATCAAGGGAAACCAAAAGGAACTCCAGCCTTTTGAGGACCCCCAAAGAAAAGACACTCTGCCATCAGATTCTGCCGAACATATCTATATAGTCTACCCCAACATATAAAACTGGGCTGTTCAAAAATGGAGGTTGGCCAATCCAACTTAATCCCTGTACGCAAGCCACTACAAAGGGGACCCCTTGCGCAACCCAAAGATCAGGATTTAGGATTACCTTCTTTGAACAGCCCACTAAAAGAGTTTTGGGTTCCATGACATCCAACACTCAAGACTCCCAGAGATCAGCCAACAGAGGCTTCAAAAACTTGGGGGTACCGTCTTTTGGCTGGGTCTAAAGGGAAGCCAACAGGAAAACCAAAACTATTTTTCAGGGCCCCCTATGCCACCCCCGTAAGGGTCCCCTACAGAAAGACCTTCTTAGGTTTGTAAGGGTCCGGTGTGCGCTCCGTTTCCCTTTCAAGACGCCCCCTAATAAATATCTTTGTACTTGAGGAGGGTACCCTTAGGGAACCTTCGGGGTTGAGCCGGATGTCCTTTCGTCCAACTTGTGGTGTCCTTTTTGGCAAGAGAAACGAGACGTCCTGGATGTTCCATTGTTGGGACCCAAATGGAACCCGGAAACGAATCACGGGCCGAACGATTCTTCCATGGTCTTAGGACTTCAGGATCGCTTGCTCAGGGAAACAAAATGTGCCCATGTCTCGTGAGGTTGCCCGTGTGCTTCAGCCCCAGAAGGTCGTTTGACCGCACAGCCGGTGTCAAGCACACGGGGTCTGGGATTCTGTTCCACTCATGTGGGATCACCCCAGTGGACCATGGGCTGAACATGATTGTTTGAGCAGACCTGTCCGCTTGTGTGAGTCCACCATGTCCCTCAATGGACCATATATTCAGCATTACTTCTTGAGAAAAACCTGTGCCGCGCCTGGCCCCAAAACGCCTGGGCCCACAAAAAGGCGGCCACCGCTGGCAGTCGCCCAAGGCATACCGCGCAGCAGGTGCAATTCCACCAGCGCTTCGCGACTTTGCGGGACGGCAGCACCGACCCTGGAATCGGCGCCCGCAACCCGGTTGACTTAATGTCTCACTTCTTGGTAGGAAATGACCGAGTCTGGGAGTTGGGAACTAAACGGAAGGGGATTCCCTTACAACACATCATAGAGCGATGGGTTATATTTGGGCCCTTCCAGCTTGTTGCGAATTCCGAACCAGCAAGTCATTCCAGAGTTTCTCTCGCTTCCGAACCAGTGGATTGGCCAGAAAAAGTCGAAGCTGTTGTTTACCGCTAAAGTGGTCTTCCCCAAAAGCTGTCAAAGTCCAAGGAAGTTAGTAATGGGAACTGAGTAAGCAGAACCACTGGTGTGCCCTTTTGGCGGCGGGTCAGAGCACTTTTGGGGGCTCAACACTAACCAAGAAGAACTTTTACATTGGTTGTCAAAAGCCCCAACCAAGGATGTGATGACCATCCCTACCAATTGCAAGGGGTATTCTGGGCATGGCACTTTTATCTGTAAGTTTGCCAATTCGAGGTTCCTCGAGTGGGGTGCCGTCAAAAAACAGACGGTTCACCTTGGATCAAAATGGTTGAGAGCATCAAAACTCAAAAACGACTCTGCCGAGAAACGGGTCCCTCCGGGCTATGACCTGACAAACGACAATGGAAAAAAGTGTTGTGCCAACACACACAACCTATCAAGAACAAGTTGAACGTTCGCCAACTCAGGCAAGTCAGGACTGTGGATTCCCTGTACACGTTTTTGGAGCTGGAAGCAACGATGAACCCACCATCATATGGGTGTGGCTCAAAATTAACCAGGAGGGGTTACGCAGGTGTTGGTCCATGTTTCCACTTACCAGGGTTCCATTTTGGTACCGGTTTTTTGAGCCACAGCCATATGGAGGCTCGTGATGTTTAGCAACAAACAAAAGTTGGCGACGGCACTTCAGCTCCTTCAGAAGAACAGCAGTTGTCTGGTATGTTGCTCAAATGCCCAGTGGCTATGCGAAGAAAAAAAAACGGGCACTTGTTTTTTTGGTTGGTTGAGTTTAAAGATGTTTAAAGGGGAACCCTTACCCCCAAAAAAAGGGGAAAAAGGGCACCACTGGGCAACTAGGATTGTGCCAGACTACCAAACAGTGACATTTTGCACCTTCTGCAACATCCTATGCAAGATCCTGCTTGATCCGTCTGCGACAGGCCTTTTGTGCGGCTTGTCGCTCTCAAGGGTCAAAAAGGTTGAGGTCAGCCAGTCTGACCATGGGTCACTTTTCCCACGTGGTCAGAAAAAAAACAAACAAACACTTCTTGGTGGTGTTCCCTTCCGATCACCCCATGTTTACCGGACCTTCTCATCAACCTGCATGTCTTTTTGGTCAGCACACAAGCCCAGGGGACGTGAGTTCACGAACTGGACATCTGGTTTTCGGCTTTCCCCATCCTCTGGATCTGAAGTGGGACCCTCGCGAGATTTGTTCTCACTGGTTGGCACAGAACCCGAGAAGTGTCCCCCCCCAAAGGAGATCCCACCCAGAAAGGTGTTTTTTTCTTGGGGGGGTGCCAGGTTTGGCCAACTGCGGAACCCGAAAATTCTCGCCCCCCCCCAAAGAAAGGAGATCCCTCTACAAATGGGGGGGGGTTTGGTGCGATGTGAATCGGAGTAAGGTCCTCACTTTCTGTCCACAAAATGGGAAAGCTCGGAAACTCCGGGAGTGCGTCCCCCCTCAAAACTTGGAACCTGCCAGAGGGCGGTTTTTCGCTTAAGGAAGAGGGTCTTTTAGGAAGCTCCTTGCAGGTTCTCGGGTACAAAAAGAAAAAACACGTGTCGTTATCCTTTGTGTTGTGAGAGTCTTTTCAAGTTGAGTCGTGCCCGCAAACATCAATCTGAACCCAAAGGGACTACCTTTAACATACAAAGAGCATCGCTGCAACCATTGCTTCAGTTGGCAATATGATACATGTTACCTTCACAAAAGGCAACTTCCCGCAAACAAGTTATCCTTGCAATACTCTGGGTAGCATTGTGCGCCATGAAACCAAAGACAAGACCCGAGAAAAAGATCAAGCCGAGAGGCGGCCCATACGCTCTTCCAGGTCCTCTTCGGCGCAAACCAACAACAAAAAGACCCCGCAGAATAAAATGGGCTCGTCTTTTCTTGAGCTGGTAGCCCATGTGTTTACGTTTCAAAGTTACAAGCGAACCAAAGGAACATCACCACTTGGGGTCGTCCGTCTGTTTTTGAGGGTACCTTTGTTTTGTGTTTTTTAAAGGCCAACCAAAGCAAAGTCACCACTGGGGTCGTCCGTCTGGTTTTGAGGTCAAGGCAAACCAAGTGAAAGCCACCATTTGGGGGGGTCCGTCTGTTCTTGACGGTACCTTGTTTGGGTGTTTTCTTGAAGGCAAACCAAAGGAAAGCGGGGTCCGTCCGTGTTAAAAATACAGGCAAACCAAAGCAAAGCCACCATTTGGGGGGAGTCAGTCTGTTTTTGATTTGTGTTTTTAGGCAAACCCATACTTTTGTCGGGTGGTTTTGAACGGCAAACCAAAAGCAAACCACCATTTCGGGGGGTCTCAACCCTTAGAAAGAACACGCCAAACTGGAGATCCATCCCTTTTTTCGGGAGGGTGGTCCGGGCGCAATTCCTTTCAAAAGTACAAGAGACAAAGAAATGCCTGGAACACGATCCACAACTGAAAAAGAACGAACCCCGGACATTTTTGGACAAACCACCTTTGGCGAAGTGGATGCTGTCTGACAGGGGTAGGGTTTCCAAATTGGGCTGGGAACCTTCTCTTTGGGTAACGCCGCACCCTAGTGAAGTCGCCCAGGACTGTTGTTTAGCCACAATGGTTAGTGTTTCTGTCTATTGCTTTTTTTTTGGGGGGGGAAAGGGGCCCTTCACATCCGTAACCCAGAGGATCCATGCAGGGTCTAGGCACTTCAGGGTTGTCGGTTTGGTTGGAGGTGCCTTCAAAGGAGGCCAACCAAAAGAGCAACATGGAGATTTGCCGTGTCCATAGCTTCCCCGCCCCCAACCGAGATAAAGTTGGCATTTGCAAAAGTCCCGTGGAAATGATACATACATTCTTCCAGTGGTGAAATCGATTCCCTGTAAAACCAACGGAAAAAAGAAACATGCTCATTTCAGCGGATGGAAGCAACCTTATGGACCCCTGTCATGATCCAACCCACCCCAACTCGGTGGGGGTCTCTCAAAAAACAACCATATCTTTCAGAGATTGTTTATCTCGCTTTTGAAAGGCAACAAGGGTTTTGGGAAATGAACACCCCAGTTTTGTCCCCTGGAAACACATGGCCCTTCACCATGAGGGATCCACGCAGGTTCCATTCAGTGGCCGCACCCATACTGCGGTTGCCCGAAGCTCCTTGTGGAAGACCACCATGAGATCCCGCAGATTTGTAAAGCCTCGGCTGGCTCCCAAGCCGCAGGCGAGAGGCGAGAGGCGAGACCACCCAGGGGTGTGCCGAGAATGACCCGTTCGTTGGATCCCTTTTGAAGGAAGCTGTGAGGAGATGGATCAATAGCCAAACAACCAAGCGCAAAAAACCTCTTTGCTGCAAGGGGCTAAATGTTAGAATTGGGCTTGGGGTACCATAAACGTAAGTGAAGTCATGACGATGGAACCTCATGATAGTAAGTTGCTCAGCACCTTGTATTAGGGTGATTTGACCTAAGCTCGGGAGTTTTGACCGTCGCCCTGCTCTTTTTGACGCTGGTGGCAAACGGGGTGGAATTCGCTCCATTGGGTCCATGAATGTGGCATTCTCAACAGTTGACCCTTTTTCAAATTGTCGCATGCTGGTTTAAAAGGTGCTTTCCCCCTAACATAACCCTAGCCTCTAAATTGCCGCTCGAAGGAACACCACCCCCCAAACGTGAAACACCCTCTCAAGCCCCCCTTTTCGGGCTGCAAAACAAAAAAAAAGCCCGGCCCGGCCCATCCGCGAGGGGCAGACCGGGAGCTCGAAGAGTGCCCCGAAGCAGCAGAGCACCGGGAGCTGTTGGGAGGCCAAGTTCCAAGCGAAGACGACGACCGCCAGCAGGTGATGCACCTCGTAGCGTCGTTGCGGTGGAGAATCTGGTCTAGAAAGGGATGGGTAAAAAAGCCATAGGCTAATAGGTTCTAGGACAGTCTAAGCTTCTAAATGAATGAGTTCGAAGAAGTGGGAATCATGAGCATTTTTGTTTTGGGGGGGGGTGACCCCAAATAAGTGAGTTCAAAGAAATGGGAATACACACATGACCGTCCTTTGGGGCAAGCGATCGGACCCTGTTCAGCGGCTCGAAACGTCTCCACGAGCGATGGCTCGAGCTGTGAGCAAGCGGCCGTGTACACCCAGACCAGCATAGACGAAGCCTGCAGAAGCCATTGCTCTTGCGCTGCTGAAGGTGACTCCTGGTAGGCGTGTCATTTTCAGGGGGAACCCCACGAATTATGTTATTATTATTTTTTTGGGGGGGGTTCTGTTTCAAACCACCCGAAATAAGGTATCCCTCAAAAAATAAGACACATGCACCTTCCATCACTTTGTGGTGTGTGTGTGTGTGTGCCCCAATTGGATATGCCCAGATTGGACTTGGGCGAGTAACCAGGCTTTCTGAACGCACAAAAGCTGGGCCTTGCAGGCCCTTCCATGGACCAAAAGACAATGTACCAGCAAAGGCTCGTTCAGGGAAGTGGGAAGTCAGATGGTGGCCATCCAAACCCAATGATACAGAATCACACAAACGGTGCACCGTCTCCCGCCCTTCACTTACCCTGGTTTAATTGCTCAGGGGCCTGGGGCTTGCAACGTCAGAGTGCTTCAATCTGCGGGTGTGTCCCAAAATACGGGCGCTGAAACGAGCGGTTTCCCTTGGTTTCCCTCCTGGACCAATTCCTCAAGGGTAGCAACAAGTCGGTGGCTTCCCCTTGGCTTCAAACGAAAGCCTCACGGCTGCGCCCAAGGAACCGCACCCTCTATCCCAGGACCAAGGTCTCTTGAAGCCGCTGCTCATGGCATTGGTATGTGTGGAGTCTCCACGGCCCTGGAAAAACGGGGCCTGTGCCCAAAAAATCAAAATAATTAATGCGGGCATGGACCCGATTTTTGAGGGTCATGGAGACTCCAGGTAGTTCGTGAAGCCAAAAGAGGATGAACGAAGAGGCACATATCTGTTCGTGGAAAGGCAACCCTCAAAAACAAAAGCGAGGCCAATTGTTCGGTTATTGATTTTAAAGGCAAACTCCCCCGAAGAAAAGGGAGCAAGCTGGAGCAAGGGCGCTGGTGGAACTCACCCTCGCTCCTCGCAATGAATGGCCAATAGCCGTCGGGCTTTCCAATCCTGCGAGGCGCTTGGCGTGGATATAGCCGAAACGAAACAACCACCCCCGAGCGTCGCGGCCAAGGAGGTGTTGTTTGTCTTCCTTTTTTTGTTCCTTTTTTTTCTCGAAAGCTTGGAAGAATCCCCAGTGGACAACAATTTTGGCATCGTGTCCAACAATGAAAGTAAGTGATGCTTGTGCAGAGTGTAAGGTCTCTCTGAGTTGACCAAGAGGGTCCCATCTGAAGTCTTTGAACGGCTGAAAACGTCACAGGTGCAAATGGAAGCAGCGGTCCCTTCTTGCCGTGGAGCTCCATCCCGGCACATCCGATGAATCCAAACTCCAAGCGATCATATGCCCTGCTAGAGAAGGGCAATAAGCCATGGATTAGCATGTACTTGGCTCTGGCGCAAAAAATATAAGTCACCCTTAGTTGGTGCTTTGGATTGGTTTGGGGATTTAAATGCTTCTTGTAGAGGCCTCCAATGCGTTCTCCTTTTGGTTTCCAAGGCCATTCTGAATAGGGATCCTTCCCCATTCTTTTCAGGGATCCTTCCGCCCGTAAAACCTCCGGAAACCCAGGGAAAACGGATCTGATTGTTGAAAAGAACGATGGTTGAATGGTGGAATCACCCCCTAGCATCGTGGGGTCTCCTCAGCTGAAAAAATGCAAGTCCCTGCAACGAGTATGTCCACGGGTCCGACTCCCCACATCCATTTCGTGGATGTCAAGACGGACTTCAGACGGACCATATTCTATGGTGGGCTCGTCTTTCTTAGAGTTGGTACCACTTGTTTGGTGGTGGTTCAAGGGAAACCCAAAGGAAAACCGAAGCCATTTTCTGGGTCCCCTTGAAAAAACATCCCCAATACCATTACGGGCATGATTGGGAGCCTGGTGGGTAAATGTCTATCCTTCACACGCCCCAAACAAGACGACCGAGGGGGGGGAAAAAACTGCACGCGGGAAAACGGTCGCAAAAGAGTAACCCTTGGCAAAACAGGGGTGTCTTGGCCAGAGAAAGTCCAAACTCTTTACCGTTAAAAAATGGGCTCACAACTCCTTGATGACCAGATTTCAGGGTCAGAAGGAGACTCCAGGTACCAACATAGTCCAAACCAAAACTTTCAGAAGTCGGGGAGTGAGAGAGAGAGAGAGAGCGAGAGAGCGAGCAATTGACAGTCACAGAGTTCGGCGACAAAATGGACGCTGGCAAAACAAAAGGAACCAAGGGAAGTGAAACATTGCTCGAGCACACATGTCTATGTGACTTCCCGCCTGACTGGCCATGTCTACATATTTCTACATTGCCCTTCTGCGTGCGTGGCTGTTCGGCCAAGTTTGTGAGTTGCTAGTAACCCAGGTTGTAGCCTACCCAACCCAGTTCTTGTGTTGCAATCCAAATGCTAGCCACTTAACTTGGCCGGGTTTTTGCGGGTATGTGGGGAATTTCCGGGAGAATGTTTCCTGCTAGTTTCTCAGGGACCCTAACCATTGTTGTTTTCCCCAACCAGAATAACACGGGCCGGGGTCATTGGCTTTCCCTAAAGTTGCCGTCTGAAGTTGGTTTCTTTCCGGTGCACGTCGGGTCCTCATAAATGGCAAGAAGCCAATGAACGAGCGCGCAGGAGGAAAAGCAGCGAAGCAGCCAGCTGGAGGAACCGTCACCTGCACAGACCCAAGCGATCTGTTCGGCGCTTGCAAGGAGCGAAATAGATTACACACCTTATTGCTCTATGACTAAAGTTAGCTTTCAAGCTCACTAAAACCCGTTCCATTCTCTTAGCCCTTTGTGTTGCGCTTGGCGGGGAACGCTAGCTCCTGCAGAAGAAAAACAACTGCAAAGAACTCTTGAACCTAAACATACGCCTTGGAAATCCACGCATCCCAACAGTTAGTGACCAAGGAAAACCCTCATGCAACATCTAATTAAGGAAATTCCAGGCTTTCTATAACGGCTTGCCTGGAACGGAGCCACTGAGTCGAGTCAAGTCAGTCGAGGCTCCCGATCAAGCAAGCAAAGGCGACCGGTGCCAGCACCACTTCAGCCAAACGAAGGTTGGGGGTTGCCCCAAATTGTGAACGCAACTACAATGTTTGAAACCTATTATGGAAAACATGCCGGCGGGCTGACAATGATTGGCCAAACTTGTCCCCAAGCTTGTTGCTTGCCACTAAAACCGTCGTCCCAAAACACATATATAAAATCCAATTGCAGTGAGTGAGGCATAGCACGCACCGTTGTCATTCATCAGGCAAACAAGGTCTGTTGGCCACGTGCGGGGACGACATCTGACTATTGGAACTAGTTCACTCCATGAGGCGTCTGGCTGCTGGATTCATAGATTATTTCCTCCAAAGCAAACGGCTCCTTCTCAAACCGGTTAAATGAGGGGTGTACTCATAGGTAAACATTCGTTGGCTGCCCCCATGCCCTCCAGACTTGACAATATTACTGGGAGAATTACGTCACTGCTTTCCATTGCAGATACACGAAGCACCGGTAGCTTGCGAAACACGTGGTTCATTCTGTGCCCGCCGCCAAAAAAAAAGAGACGGCGTCACAAGGACACAAAGACTATAGAGGGGAGTCCTTCAGCGACGCGCGAGCTAAGCAGCTGGAGTCGGGTGGGGAAACAAACCCACCGGACCAAAAAATGGAAGTTCAGGGACTGAACAAGTCGGACCGTGATTGGCAAAGCCGAGAATCGAGCAGCTCTCTAGGCCCGTTTGGTTTGCACCAACATGGGGCTCGTCTTTGCGGAGTTCGACTCCCAAAAAGGCGTGGGCTTTCTTTGGGGTTCCCTTCAAAACCAAAGAGGCGTGCCAACTCCAACTTGAAAGACGAGCCACCCACGGTTACAAGGGTGCGACTGAGCCACTTGCTTCGCTCCACCAAAAAAAGCAACTCACTTTGACTCCAAATATCAAGGTTTTAGCCTTGTTCCACCCAAATACATGTCCTTTTGCGGATGACTCACTTAGCACTCCTCCCTCCAACAAACACCCCTTCCCCCAAACATCCCTTCCTCTGCCCAAACTTTCGCCATCGAACCGCCAAGCTGCCGAGCACCATGGTTTCCATGACGCCCGGGCGCCGGTTCAGCAGCACAAAGTCGCCTCGGCCGACATGCGATGCGCTTCGCGGATTCGACGGCGGAGTCCATGGGAATGACTGTAGGCCTTGGCCTAGACCCTCAAACTACCCTTAAAAATGGGATATTGCCAACCTAAATATTAAACCCGAACATATGTGGCTATCACATTTAACTTTATTCACCTCGGAACGGTTGAACATCAATTCCCAGCTCAACGAGGTCCGCCAAAGGATGCCCAACACAAAAAATCACACCTACCCTTGAAGAAGGGAAATCGCCCCATCATTTGGCGGCAATGACCTTTTTTTTTCATGGATGGTGTGAGGGTCTCTAAGATGGCTTGCAATATCCATAAAATGCTACTGCCGGGATGTATATAGATACACATATGAAACTTGTCGATAGATAACGTTGTGTATATATATATATTATGATTAGCCACTGTGTAAAAGGATTAATATTCCTCCTTTTCATCGGGGGTAGTGGTTTGGAAGTAGTGGAATCCAAAAGTCTCAATGGGAACCAAACCTACGGATGTCTTACATAGATGCGGTTGGTTCACTTGCAATATTTGTGAGCAGGTCATCCAATGAATGCAAATATCATATCAAGTCACGTGCCTTGAATCGGGCCTTCAATTGGGCGGCAAAGACACAAATCGGGCATGTCCTCAAATCCCTGGCAAAAAGTTCAACTTTTAGCGGGCTAAATACGGAAACCCAACCACTCAACCAACCAAAAAGCTAAGAAAAGCTAAGGGACCGGATGGCCTTCAAGAGCCACCAAGAAATGGTGGGCCTCCAGTTGGTCACTTTGTGTTGGGGAACTCGGCCTGGCAACCAACCCGTGCCAAGAAAACCCAGCAACCAATGGCTCCAACCACGGCTAGTGAGCTGACATCACCTGGTGAGCTCATGATAAACAGCGGCTCCGCGCCGCGGTTCCAGCCCGGGACAAGCTGACCGTATGAGTAAAGTTTCCAATCGCAACTCGTGACAGCGAGTGCGCAGCCTATGGCGCCTTGCCGTGCTGGTTCTCAGATACTAAGGAAACAGAAAGGGCAGCTCATGGGGGGTGGGTTTTTTTGGCACACCAAAACACCACAAAAGCCAAAACAAATGAACCGGAAGGAAGTGGATCCCTTCAAGGACACCAGCTGGATCAGTTGGATGGTTCAGTGCGTGAATGAGCTTCATTCACGAGCCAGCAGGCTGCTTCGGGGGCGAGGGAGACCAAAGAGACGAACCCATGTGAGCATGCCTTTTCTTGATGGCAATTATATTGTGTTTGTGGCTTTGAAGGAAACTAAAAAACAAGAGAAAACTAGTTTGGGGGCTGTCCGCAAAAAAAAGACACACCAATATTGAATTCAATCTCCCGACAATTCGCTCCCTTATTCGAGCGGCCGGCCGGCAAATCAAAAGCTGGACGGATTCCGCGGTAGGAAATACGCGCCTTGTGCTACCAAAGCGGGCCTCCTTCATCACTTCAGGACTCCCTTGATATAGGTGTGGCTCAAAAATAAAGAGCTGGGGTTACGCGGGTTTTAGTCTTTGGTTCCATTTACCAAGGTGCCATTTTGGTACATGCTTTTGAGCCACACCACCGAAGCTGGTTCAACCTAAGATTCCCCCTAAGAGTATCACAGAAACTCGCAACCTGAAACCATTTTTTCGGACCAGTCTGGGCACCTGAAGCTTCTTGTCTCCGAATCCTGGGCTGTTCAATCCAGGACTCAAAGGCCAGCATTTTACGGATGGCCTTTTCACAGCCCTTCTTACCCAACCCACCCAACCACGAGAAACAAAAAGCCGCTCATGCGGCCGGCAGCTCGGCCCAGCCAAAAACCGCGGCATCGACCCATCGATCGCGGCCAAAATGGCTGCTTGGCCAAGGGGCGCCAAGGAAGGGGCTCGCTGCAGAACAAGCAAATGCCCGCCAGAGACGCCAGCAGGTAATAGACCTGGCCCACCCAAAACAAGAGGTGCCCACGAAAACCCGGGAAATAAACAAGTATATTGTTTCAATCTGAACAATTGTGTCGGGTGTTGTTCACATCACTTCTTGTGGGAGATTTGGGCGGTGGGGGGGGGGGGGGATTCACTCACAAACTGCACACACCTTCAATGGCCATGGGGTAAACATGGGCAACTTGCTTTGGAGTTGTGTTGAAACAGAAACCCCCTGGCGCAACCCAAAGTAGATTTCCCGAAAAGGGCATCCTGTTATTGGTCGTTGGCTTCGAAGGGTTTCCTTGGGCGAGCTCGTCTTTGAAACACATTGTTTTTTTGACGTGCAAGGTCACCCTCTGTGAAATCCAATCATTGCTAGGGAAACCTTTGATATCTCCCAAACGCCAACAGAATAAGCCCAGTTTCAACAACCCTCCGAACAACGTGAACCATCAAGCACCAAGACGTCAACTCAACTATCGCCAATTACCAAGCCAATTGATCATGGCAAGCCATAGGTTAATATTAAGATGTTCATCACAAGCAAACCAAACAACCTCCGTTTGGTCCCCCTAAGGTGGGACCACCGGGCGCTGATCCAACTCCCTCGCCTGCGAGCGTAGCAGTCTCCGCAGGAGCCTTGGCCCGAAGCGGAGCCATCCATAGGCCCCAACCCAGCAATGCCCATCGCTGAGGCACAAACTCCTACACCAGTCGGGATGTACGCCCCTTTTTGTTGAATACCCGGAGGCATCCCAAATGCTGCGACTCGGTGGAGTTTGTCCATAGATGAAAGGCCTGCTACAATGACAAAGGCTCGGGGCTCTTTGAAAGGCTCGAGTCCCTTCCCAGTTCCCAGGTTCACAGAACCTGAAGGCAAGAGCATTCAACGTGGAAAGGCCCCAGAAAACGTGTACCTGGAGTCTCCTTCTGACCCGGTCATTTCCCAAAAGAAAGGGGTCATGAACCCATTTATTGCTTTGGGTCATGGAGAGTCTAGCACGTGGATTCAAGCGGGACGCGACTCCGAGAAACAGGGGTCCATGTGATGTGTGGTGGATGGGGACGCTCAAATCTACGAGCTGGATCAACCTGCAGTCGGATGTCGGATGCCCAGGGGCATCGACAAGAAACTTCCCTACTGGATAACGAAGGATGTGGCAGTGCTCATGACTCACAACCAACAGTCTTAATCACCTGAAACTAGCAAGAAGAATGGGTTATTGCCAGTTATTGCCGACCAACATAATAACATAGTGGTCGCTGATATCTTTTTTAAAGGGTTGTTTGAGGGTCCAGGTATGCACGGCATCTGCGCAGAAAGGCCAGCAAGACCCCAACAGCGAGCGGTGCTTGGCGCTACCTGTTCACCGCGGATCTGCGAACCGCGCCTTTGACCCCTTAGGTTGGCTGAAGAGTTTATCTGAAGGGAGAAGGTCGACACAACCAAGATCAAGTGTCAACCAACAGCATCGAGGTGACAAACAAAGGATCTAAAACTGCCAAGACAGGCTCGGGGTGTCAGCAAAACAACAACATGGTGACAAAAAAGGATCTGGGGGTGCTAAAAATGGCTCGGGGTGTCAGCAAAAGATGTGAGACGTCAACCACGAATGGCGCTGCCGACTGAATTTGAGGGTGTCAACCCACATGTCCGACCTCATATAGCCCTGTAACGGTTTTTAGAGACACCACTTCTCTTGACAAACCTATGGGGTTGTCTCCCAGAAAACGCCAGAAAACAACCTCCTGAAAGGGGGTGGGAGGTCTTTTGGCTTCCGTCCAAAACAACCCCAACATGGGTGCCTGTTTTTGCATGACCCAAACATCTGAGGTATGTGACCAATTCAAGAGTCATGACCCCATCTCTGAAGGGTCATTGGGGTGTGTCTTGACATGGGGAACACCAAACATGGTTCGTTTCCGTTTGGTTTACCTTTAATTCCTGGAGCACCCTTCGTTACCTAAATTTCTGCCCTTAGCCCAAACGTATTGCAAAACCAGGGGTCGTCACCAAAATATGGGAAACGTACACCTTTTCCTGCTTCGAGCATTTTTCCCAAAACCGGGCTGGTCGGTCCTCCAAGATGATCGGTCGTTGAATTTGCGAAAGGAGCGAGCAGAAATCCAAATGCAAAACGAGCGCAAATATCCGCAAAACGAGCGCAAATATCCGCAAACGAGTGCAAATCTAAAAAACGTGTCCTCTGGATGGAAGAAGGGGATTTGGTCGAGCGTTTTTCGGGGGGGCGAGCGTTTTTTTGGGGGTCGAGCAGAAGTTGGTACTTCGAGCGTTTTTTTCTCGTACCTAAACAAAGGGCACGTTGGGTGCCTCAGGTTAATTTGCCTCTCTTTTCCCAAAGCTTCGCTTTTCCCCTTCCCCAACCCCTTAGACCAGACCCACGTGTCCGAGATTAGCCTCAGCCCAGCCCGCCCAGCCCATCCACCAACCAACCCAAGCAAGGCCCAGCCCGGCCCGCCCTGTCTGCTGGCTCCATGACTCACTCCTGGTCCTGCGCATCGCCTTGCCCTTGCCTCGGGGATTCCTGCGGGCGCATGACAGCAAGTCGTCCAACGACGCCAGAACCTGTCCCTGCCTGAGTCGCCACTTGACCAGCTCTGCTGCTTGCAATCGAACCACAGACGCTGCGGGGCCGAGGCGGGCAACGCGCAGCGTTTACAATTACAGTACACCCCTCCCCCCCAAATATGTGCCATACTGTGGACGGACGAAATCCTGCACCTAAGAACCCGCAACAAAATGATTCGATTCCCTAACGTAAATACAAACAAACCATGGTTTCAATCATGGTTTCATTCTCGGATGCCCAGTATATTTTCATGGGAAAAAAAGAATCGGCATCCTTTTTTGGTTGGTTGACTTCAAAGGGGAACCCTTTCCCAAAAAAGGGAAAAAGAGCACCACTGGTTGCAACTGGGCCTTTCGTCACCCCTCTGCCGGGCTCCCGGCGGGCGGTGCTCGAAATCCGTCTGCAGCACTGCGCCGGCGGCGAAGTGAAGACACGGCCACAGGATGGCCCTCGTGTCGGGAATTCGGACGCGGACGGTGCGGGGAAGCTTTCCATTTGGCGTTTGCCTCCCTAGACTCTCCATGACTCAAATCAAAGATGGGTTCTTGACCCCTTTCTTTTGGGTAATGACCCCATGTTTAAAGGGTCATGGAGACTCCAGGTCTAAGCAAAGAAGGACCATAGGTGTCCTTGTGGTTCCAAATAGCCGGATTTCTCTGGCACATGGCCATCTGTTTTCAACCAAACGAAGCTAAAAAGGACACCTATACCGATACCATGTTCATTTTTTTCTCAGCTGATTCGGCTATGGGGTCGATCGGAGGATAGACTCGTTCGGGATGGTTTGGGAATTTCAGGCAGGCCTTGGTCTCCCTTCAGCAGGTCTTCGATGTCTAAATGACGAGCCATGACCATTTTAAGACTTTTTTCAACAATCGGTACAAAGACACACCCAGGCAGTCTTTGGTCTCCACATGTGTCCGTGTGTGCGTGTGTGTGGGAGGGGGGGGGGGGTTCTCAGTTTCTTCTTTTGGGGAGCTCCTTCGGTTCAATGTGAATTTGCAGCAAACTATCCTTGACATGTCAACGGTTGGGGTCAACACGAATCCCCTGGGTGGCTCATACTTTCAAAAACTCCAGAAGTGGACGGTTTTCCTCGTGGAGCTCCTTTTTAAGGCAACCCTGGAAAGGGCCCCCTCAACAGAATTGATTGGGATACAATCTGTTGATTTTGATCTGTTCATTTTGAGGCAACATCTGGATTCTCGAACTATGGGACCCGAAACGGGTGTTGGGTTTACCTTTAAACTTTAAACCCCACAAAAAGGTTGCAATTTTGAGGCAACATGTGGATTCTCGAAGTATCGACCCAAAACGGGTGGTTTCCTGTTGCATGGTTGGTCTTCAAACTTTAAAGCAACCCCACAAAAGGTTGCCTCCCCTCCCATCAAAAACGATGGTACTAACATGGAAGCCAAAAGAACACCAACCATTTTAGACCCCCCCAAAAAAGAAGAAGAAGAAAACGCAACTACCAAATATCCATGTTGCGCAAGCGCCAACGCCCGAGCTCCCGGCCAGAACACGAGAGATCCGATGGTAGCGATGGATCCCATGCCATTGATCGGGCAAATGGATTTGGGCGCTGCGACCAGATCGACTTGCACAAGTCGGTGCAGCCAACTCACCCGGGTTCCAACCACCGCTTTTGGTTTCCATCTTTGGGATTCTGGGCATGGGCAAAACAGGCGAGTTGAGGAGTGCTGG